ATACTATATACATTTTGCTAAACAAAATATATTTAAAATTTATTGTTCTAAATATTATAACGGTATATATACTATATTTGTTTTTAATATATATATATATATATATAGCAAACTATTTACATGGTCTGCACAAGGCCTGGTATCCTTTTCTAGAGGCATTGACTTATAGAGTTACAACTTATTTTGTGTGTATTTTTCTCATGTACTGTTAAGGTGTGTTAGGTTACAATGGATTGTCGAATAACATGTCATCTATAATGAGTTCACCATTTTTGTCAATAAACTTTTTAAAAAGCCAGTTTTGTAAGTTCTGTACCCTTCTCCAATGCTCGATACCATTCAGTCCTGTCGACCATCCTCGTGTTTGTTCTACCCGCCTGCCAGTTTCATTAACACGTCAATGTTTCTAACCTCTAAATATTTTCAACCTGGAAAATTCCTGTACCAAATGTTCATAACGATCCTTCAAATTCAAAATCACTCTCCTTTTTAATATAATTTTTTCCCCCTATTGCACGTTTAACTAACACCTTAACTCATTCTAACACTTTTCCTTCAGTATTAGAATAATTCAAATAAAATAGTTCTTCCCCTTCTTTCAGTATTTAGATACATTAGAATATGTAACAAAAGCAAGGAAAGTATAGATGAAATCTTTACCCTATTTTGGACAATTGAAACTACTTTTGGGTTCAATAATTCCCTAAATATTAATTTTATTTATTTCACTGGTACAGACAGCAACATGGATGGTTTTAAGAATGGAATGCATTTTGGGGAATGGTTTTTTTTTATTTGTTTGGAATTGTTTTTTTACTGCTTTCGATTTATTTGTAAAAAGTTTAACAAATTTTTTGTTCAACTTTATGTTTTTACTAGACTTGAAGGAAACCAATCTTATTTCAAAGTCTTATTTTTGTTTGTTTTTTGGTTGTTTCAACTCTTGTAGTGGCGTCTCGTTTTTATTCTAATGATGAGAATCTTAACTCAATGGGTTGAAAGTTAACTTGCACCTTACTCTGATGAGTTGTTTTCATTATACACTTACAGTTGGCTCGCTTTTGTCAACGAAATAATCTGAAAAGTCTGAACCATTAAAAATTAGGTAAATATGTTTCTACTACATCAACATGTGTGCAAAATTAAACTACAGTAGACTCCTTCTTATCCGGACACCTTTTTACCGTACTACACTTGGTGGAAATTACATCTCTTTAACTGGACAATTCTTATCAACACTTCGGTTTAACCGGACTAGATCGGCAGGAAGTGGGCTGTACTGAAATGACTGTTGGGAAATATTTGAGACCAGTGATCACATGTCTAAATACAGTGATCTCCTTAACTTAAGTAGAATATTTTGGTAACATAACGAGTTTTTGGGGACGTTGGTTTAACCGGAAAACCCGTTATCCGGACTGGCCTCGGTCCCGAGGTGTCCGGATAAGAGGAAGTCTACTGTACAGTTATATTTTACTTAATAACTGAAATCAGCAGTATCGGTACAATCAGTTATAAAAATAAGCCTGTTTATTTACACATTTTGGACGTAACTTGCTATAGGTTGTCATGTAGATGTCAGAAAGTCCCAACCAATCTGATCAGGATGAGAAACTGTCTACTGTATCCGATCCTACACCTAAGAGAATAACGTGCATTCTTACATTTTAAAATCCCAAGTAAACTTAAAAATTGTTTTAAATGTATGAACACAACAAACATTTAAACAAGCTCTCTAGATCTCGTACTAAAGTAAGGATGGGTAAAAAGATAAACATGTTTTATCAGATAAGTACAGTAACCCTAATTATTATGAACTACCTGTGAGAGCCGGATTGCCTCTTTCACCCCTAACATCAGTCTGCGGAATCCCAGAGGCAACGATTTTCAAACACTAATAAGAGCACTAGCTGAGAGGTTGTCATAAAAATGGGTTAAGCCTTACAGTCTGGTGGTTAATTGGATTAGAGTGAGATTGACTTGCTCAATTTTAAGGGCAACGAGCATGTTCTTGAGAAGATCTAAAATAAAAATAGTGATCTTGTAATTATTATTAATAAAAAATAAATCATTTTTCCACTAAAAAATAAATAAATAATATTGTTTTCCATCATATACGAAAGGTTATACAAGGAAAAGTTTGCCATAAGCTTCAACTGATCTTGGAATACTAGTGCATCTCTTCATAATTAGAGTACTAACCATAGCCTCCTCGCATACAAGGCCGCTGCATTGTGTGTGGCAACTTCACATCGGCCGGCTTATTGCTGTAGTATAAACATTGTGGAGAATCTCCATTATGAATTAGTCATTCCTGTTACGGTTGGATATGCCACTTAAGTCTCACCACAGTCTTAAGGAACCGTTTGTGCACAAAGAGCTGGAGCGGTAGTGGTTGTCCTCCTGCTGTAGTTTCTAACTCGACCGCTGTGTAGTTAGAAATTGCAGCGGTTGTTGGAGAGTGAGCGGTTTTCAACTACATTGAGTCAAATGAGACTGTTTATGAAATGAAATGAAAAATTATTTATTTTCACAGGCAAAGTTAGGGCCACATGTCCCTTTCTTACACTCAACAACCTGTACTTTAAAATATGATACAAATATTTTAACAGAATCAGTCTATACAATAAAACAAAACAGAAATCATAGCTACAGAAACTTTTAACAAAAATCAGTAAATTTTAAATTTTACAAATACACACACATAAGTGTCAACGATCGCCCAGGTGCACAAGCCCTCAGGACAAACCTACCATGGCCATGCGCTCAAAATAGAGATTTTTGTGCTGCCACAAACCAGGAACGACTATCAAGGGATTTATGCACGGCGGGAGTGGGAGCGGCTGTAGCCAGGGTTGCCGACTTGGACAACCTACCTACATGCACGTGGATTGTCTTCTGGATTCGGTTAGGGGTTATTTGTTTACTGTGAGCTAGAGAGTTAGAGTTGGTAAGACTATGTCCCCCACTCCTTTCGTTGTTGACCGACCGCTACCTCTTGCACAATTTTGAAGAATTTTCACAGCGAGAGCGGGACCGCTATCACCTTGTGCATAAACGCAGCCTTTGAGGAGACTATGTTCTAACTCTTCAGAATGTTCATGGTTCGATGCTGAGAAGTCTAAATATTTTGGTTTGAAAATGGATCTAGCTGTTCTTAATCATTGGGCTTTTAATGATGATGAAGACCAAAGAGGCAGTTGATTTTAGTTACAAAACAAAGCTGTCTCTTTCTTTCATAATTTATCTAACATCAAAATACACACCCAGGTGTTCCAGTGTCAAAAAATCTAATCTAAGATTAATTTAATCTAGATCCGATCAGTCTGGACATCGACTTTTGTGTACTAGAAGCATAGCCGAGAGACGGCTATGAAAGTAGTCGTCTATATGTACCAACACCAGCTGTCGGTGACTTTATATTAAAGAACAACATTGTTCTGTGAGCCAGTTTCAGATTGCGCTAGTGTCTAGAATTCTTTTTCACCTTATATTCTGTTATTGAGATAGTTTATGTGATTTAAGATGCCACACCTTACAATAACACATCTCATCAGCTTCACTTAGTTAAAAGGTAAATATTTAAAAGAACTTGTTTATGTACATCAGCGCAATCTGTCTATGGCTTACTTTAACTAGGTTCATTTTGACTTGAAACCGGTGTCAACTTGGTCTCGATCAATATCTTGCTGTAAACCATAAATAATCTACCTACGCCATCTATTATTAGGGCTCGACAATCATAAGACATGTGACCATGAGTTCTATAATGGACAGGTAAAAAAAAAACTGCTATATTCCTTGGTCACACGACAAATAAACTTGTTGATGCAAATCATTATATCTAGAAACACCATTTGCTTGAATGAAACAAATGTTCAGTGGTTAAGGTAGCTTTTAGGGGTAAACAATGACTCGCTATAGTATATTACGTTACTAGTCCTGAAAATAAGTGTTTACCGGACGAGTGTGGTCGTTCCCATACGGGATTACCATACGAGTCCGGTACACACATTTTGGACGAGTTGCGTACGATAGTTTACGCCATACTACTAAATCCGTACAAATCCTTATATATTTCCACCAACTAAAGGACTAAAGATCACTAGTCATAACCTCTAAGAGAGGTTATGTTTTTGTTTATAACCACTCATTGCCACCTAAATACAGTATAATCAGCTGATTGGTGTCCGGTAAAACTCATTACAGTACAGTAGTACGCAATGAAACCCCATTTGATTAAGGTGGCGGCTAACAGCTGTTTTCTGGACTAAATCCTTGCGTGGAAAGTTCGTCAAAATAATGTAGTGTGGCGTAAAAATCTTTTTTAAATATACTTACCACCTACCAATAGTGTTATTTATCGATGAATGAATAACCAAACTCGTGGTATACTGAAATACATTTATTTACTTCAAATTTATATAAAACTGTACAAAATACACAAATTATTCAAAAATTTAAATTAGGCTTGTCCATTACATGTTTTATCTTAACATTTCAATATTTAAAGACACTGCGTAATAGTATTCAGCAAAGATTTGATTTCAATCATAGAATTTGTAACAATCCATATATTACTGGAAATTGTACAAAAATAGGGGTGTAATTTTATAGAAAAATATTATATTTCAACTGCTAAAATACAATATATTGAATTTTGACAATTTGTTCACAAGCCACTAAAGTAAAAATGCAGCTGTAAAAATATAGTATATCAATTGTGATTTAGTTACAAAATTTATTAACCTAAAACCACAATTTTTTTTTTCTTTTGATGTTACTATTTATCAAGAAATATTTTAAGTATCGTCTCTGATAAAATCGTAACTCTTTTGATATAAAGTTTAAAGTTTGAAAATATTAATAAATTTTAATTTATATCCAACCTTTATTCTTATAACCTCTGTAACTATGAATTTGAACATTCAGCAAAAATGTTAGTACACCATAAAAAACTTAGTGTCACTAGTCTTAACCTATAATAACAACATAACAAATAAATAAAACAACATTTAATTATACAAAACAGATAAACATCGATGATAAATTAAACAAGATGAAATTGTTTACTCTTACAAAGCTTTAGAACTATGCTCAAGGTAGTCAAGTTTCAACTATAGCTAAGAAAAATACATTAGTAGATTTGTCACTGAAAAAAATTACGAGTTTATCTTTCAGAACCGTGTTCACTTCCTCCGTTCTTTTGATCCAGTTTGTTTCCGTTGTTTTTGATCATGTAGAAGAAGTAGGTGAGTGTTTCCTTCTCGTTAACAGGAATCGTCTTGAAATGCTTCATCAGACACTGAAAACAACATTTTTTTAAATAGAAACAACAGAAATAAATAAAATGATCAAATATCATAATATCCTTAGGGAATCCTGATGATAGGTACTCATTTTGAGTATGAAGCAGCTGTAACGCACTAACATTGTTTGACAGTAACACAGGTTATATAACCCTTATCCTAACGTTTCAGAAGCGATATGAAAATATCTTTTACTCATGGAAGGCATTTACTCTAATTTTTTTTAAGATGATGTGGGAGTGTGCACTGACTAAACAATTTTTGGTTGTATCGTATTTTACTTAGCCAGTTAAAACTGTATATTATTTCATCAGGGGGATAGGCAAAACACATGTTTTCCGATTAGCAAGCCTCAAGCCTTTTCCATTAACAATTACTACTATCTGCAGATTGCATTTTAGGTGATGTCTTGGTTTTAACCTAACCTTACCCTAAACAGGATTTGTGGACAATTATAACATTTCAACCAGAAAAACAGAGTGGTAGTTATATACCGATAAGATCTTAAAATCTTACCACAGACACCATGATTTCAAAACGGGTTTTTCACCTGCCTGGTAATTTCCAAACTTTTCTTTTCTGATAGACAAACTATTGTATAACGTATTACACAAGTACTATAATGCTACTCACGTCAGCTAGTTGTGCCTTATTGAGTCCCGGTCGAGTGGCCACCTTGAAGTGACGCTTGTAGCGACGCAGCGTGTTGACCTGTAGTTGGAACATGTCTACCTCGGGAACGTCCGTGTCCGTCTCGTTAGAGTCGTCTTCGGAGTCCTTGCGACGACGTTTGCTGCGTGCCGATTGGATCACACCCTTGTGGTAGTCGCAAATGTATATGTGACGGGCCTGGGTGCAAACAAGAGAAAATAAGAATGATTATTTAGATCAAAGATTTAAATAGATTGTAACACTGAGTAATTTAATGAGGTGTGAAAATGTCACAAGCCCCCATTCAAATGCCTTTCCGTTAAACTAATGTTAACCTAATAGCCAACACGAGTTTTCATACCGGTTCAGATCGTAGTCAGGCCTACCGTACTTAAATTCTAGGGGCTGGGACTACATAAATATAATTATCTTATTGTGCTCACTTAGGCTAAACATGTGAACAATTCTACCAGAGTCGGTAAGACTGTTATTTTTCAAAACCGTTTTTTTTTAACAAACATTACAGAATCTAGCAAACGTTTGTTTGCTTGAATTATTAGCTGTGTTGTTGTCAATATCTGGTTGCGATGAACATTCTATCACAATTAAACTAAGGAATGTAGATGTTTCCACTCTACGGATTTTCAGACAATGGATCAGTAAAATTGTATGACAGTATAAAAAAACAGGACAGTTTTTCATCGGCTGTTGCTTTGTTATGACCAAAAAATAATTCAAGACTAAAGACTCTTTTATGAACATACGAGTTTAAAATGTATAAAGTAAATATGTTCAGAAAATGACTAAAATTTCATAATGCCTAGAATGCAAAATTAAAAGGATTTTTGGTGATTTTGTTAGCACTAATTAGCTTTTAATTAAACTTTATGTAAGACACTATCAGATTTTGCTATTGATTAGAGTGCATTGTTTTTAAATGATTCCTAGAGGCAGTTAAGTGTGATAGGCAGAAGTATTATTTATACGTGATGAAATTTGATACGATTGTGAAGAGGCTTTTGCCAATACTAGTGTTTGTCATAACCTTTACTGCGGTCAACAGCTCCACTGTAAATGTGACAAGTGTGAGTATAACTTAAATTATGTTTGGATTAAAAATCATCATTATTGTTAAACACCTAACTTCGTGTAGAATTAGGCCTATATTTGTTATAAATAGCATGGGTGTAATTTTAAATCTATGATAGGCCTATTGCAAAAAGTAGGATATTCCAAGTTGTGTAGAAGAAGTCTCCAAGCGTAACCTAATAAGTTACATAGCCTACATGAGTAACTGGATTCGTTAAAACTAAAACAAAGCGCAGTATAAAAATTCACATTAAGATGTTTTCTGCCTCTCAAATAGGCTAATGTTCCTAAAAAAATTAAGAGCCTTTAATCAACGCCACACGTTTTTTGGTTTTTATATCAATGAATCATGCTCAAGTATGGACACCTATAGTAAATAAATACAAAAATTCATGTTTTCGGCATATTGTTAAGACGATAATAGGTTTTTGACATACCTCAGTCAAATAGTCCAATAAATGATATTGCTCAACAGCTTACATGTTTTGTTGCGAAGACAACATTTTCAAAGCTTGCAACTCGTCAAAAACACATTTAAAACAAGGACACGAACACAGAAAACATTAATACGGTACGAATAACAACCACGCGCCGCGCCGGACCAAATCAGTATGATAGCGCTATCTAAATGTCTATCGTGTATTCGTACCTTATTAATGTTTTCTGTGTTCGTGTCCGTGTTTTAAATGTGTTTTTGACGAGTTGCAAGCTTTGAAAATGTTGTCCTCGCAACAAAACATGTAGGCGTAAGCTGTTGAGCAATATAATTTATTGGACTATTTGACTGAGGTATGTAAAAAACTTATTATTGTCTAAATAAATACCCTGTATACATAAAAACAAACTGTGTTTTATCCTTAGGCTGCATACACACGGAAAACGTGTTGACTTTCTTAGGTAACTTACCGTTAAGTCATTGAAAAAATATGTTCATGTTTCTAAAAAGGGTTAAAATATAATTGTGAGTTTAAACATGTATCGTGAAGTTGGGTGTTGAAGCAGTATACCTAAAACTTTGGCCTATCTTACATTTAGGCCTAAACATAAAGGCCTTACAAATCCTGAAAGGTCCTACTCACAACTTGGTCCAAGTGGAGCTTCAGTCTCCTCTGGGTAACTGTCTTCTGGATTCTCTTACTGTAGGAGGCGTTGCCTGCTGGTCTGTGGCAACGTAGACCGTCATCCACAAGGCAACATACTTGGTCTGGAGGGCCTCTAGAATCCTCCTCACCTGTGCTGAACCCATTCATGTGATCGCCCCCGGCTTGTTGCATTTTCTAAAAATACAAATTAAACTTTAATTGCTCAGATTACAAACCAACAGCAAGGGAAATATAATACTAAGTTATATCTATATGCCTAGGCCTATATTAAATTTGTACTGCTGCTTAAGTGGCATAGGCATTGGTGTCAGTCATATTGTCTGCTTATTTTGAAGATTTTATTAACCTTATTGGCTTGTTAGGTACATTTTACAGTCTATAGGCTATGGCTAGTATTTTAAGTTACTTACTGTACCTGTAATTACTGTACCTCAAAGTTTGGTAAGAGAAGATCAAAACCAAAACCACCAATAAAAGTTAAGAGGAGAGAGAGAGAATAACTTTTAATCAAAATCGTTAAGATTTGACAGGCGTCAGGGTACTTAAGGTTTTTGTTTTAAGGCTCCTCTCCTGATTAAACTTAAGCTAGGCGAGAGAGAAAGAAAAAGTTCAAGGCATTGGAAATTTTAAAAGGGCTCTATCCAGCTGAATTCCTGGGGGCCGATAAACACCAAGCACGTAGAGATACTTCTCTCCTTTCAGACGTAACCGAATAACAGCCATTTCGCAAACAAGTTCAGTTGTATAGTCACAAAACCCCTGCCTCTTTGTTTTTGCATCCCTTGGCACTTCTTCGTGTGGGGTGGTCCTAAGAAAGTACAGTACCTATTCCCTTCATAATATTTGAGTAGATGAAGCAGGTGATAGATAGGCCTATGCTTTCTGTGATTTAAGGCTTTATTAATGTTTAAGTTAATTGATGCTTAAGATTGTGATCAACTCTGGACAGTCTGCTTTCAACGACATCTTTAATTTTCTCATAGTACAGTAAGTTAAATAACTCATGTTTCACTTGATAAATTTATTAGATCATTCTCACCAGATTGAAGAACTTAAATTGACAATATTAAAAAGTAAGTAAAGTCTACAAAGAAAAACACTCATTTAAAGAAATCATCAAAATTTATATATATCCGTCTGAAAAGCTAGAAAAAGACAGCTAGGTCTAGACCTAGTCTAATAAGAAAGAAATATTAGGCCTAGGGCCTATTTGTGACTTAAAAGCTTAACTTACCTCAATCTTAGTCAAACTGTACAAATTTAAGCTTATTGCTTATCAATTCAGGATATTAATCAGCAAATATCAACCCACAGTATCACTAAATTTAATCGCGAAACAAGTGACTTTCTAATTACAGACATACATAGTATAAACAACAAATAGGCCTGTGGAGTGGATACAGACGTAGCTGAAAGCTGAGAGAGAAAGCTAAGCTGCTTAGTTGACTACTGTAGTAGTTGTAGACGACGAAACTTCACCACGGCCACCTTGAGCTTGAGCTTGAACTATGTCCTTGTCCCAGGTACATGATGTGAACAAGCTAACATTTAAAAATATTTAAATTGTGTTTACAGCAGAACTAGCAGGCTCAATAATTTTTTGGTGGGACGATTGTGCCATAATAATATTATTTTGTAAGTTAGTGTTAGGTTGTTGACAGTGAATTATCGTGCTTTTGGATTTAAACAATATTAAGCCCAAGCTTTCTTATGACCTTAGCAGTTCCCGCGTTGCGTAAGCTCGTCTCTGATTGGCTTTAGAAATGGCTTCGCCAAAGAAGTTGTGACCTCTGATTGGTTTAATTTTTGCGCACAATATGAATTAAACCAATCGCAGAGGTTTTTTATTCCTATGCTTGCCCTGTGTACTTCTTCGTGAGCGTGGGCTGCCGTTACATTGGAAAGAATAGGGAAGATAGTGAGCTATAAGTTGATCTCATCTACCTGTAAGTATACTTATTTTTCCTTACAATTAGTTGTTGTCAGAATGTAATATCAAACTGGCTGAAAGATTACTATTCTATTGATATTGTGTAAAAGTTTGCTCTCGTAATTTGGCTTAGATTTTTCTAAATAAAATATGGAAAGAGCACTTGTCACTTCGGCCTTGCTCGGTACCTTCCTTGTGCATTCCAAACCGACAAAGGCGTAATTTCATAAATAATTTTTACCTACAATAAGGCGACGGATAATTTTTCTGCTTGTATTATCTGATATATTGATATTTAAATGTCAATTTTGTAAAGTTCGACCTCTGTTAGTTTAAGCAAAGTAGTGTAATTATTTCGAGATTCAACGTCCTCTCGCAGAAGCCATTTTGCTATCCGTATAGACGGCCAACAAGCAGCATCCTATACACCCATATAGCCGTATTGCTGTGCTATACTATAGATCTATACGTAAGTAATGTTGTGTTTGAAATAATATTCGTTTCGGTAAATTTAAACTATTCTAATCATAATGGAACTTTGAATTAACTTGTGAATGTAATATAATTGGTAGTTTATGTCATGAAATACGTCACTACTTTTTCTTTGTCCTATTTTCGTCGAAAAGATGTTCGTCCAGATCTTTGTATGGTTCCGAATCCCGCGTTTTCTGGAAACCGTAAGGGTTTATTGCGCCGGTCTTAACCACAGGAGGCTTTTGAATGTTTTACAAATAATCTTAATGGGATTTTGAAATATTTTCTAAACCAATAAGTTTTAACTTAAGTTGTTAAGTTAGACCTTGATATGAAAAGTTGCTAGGGCACTGAAGGTCTTGCAAAATCATTTATCAGGCCCTAGATTAGTACCTTGGTTGGTTTTACTGGAAAATATTTTTGTCTTGAGTTATTTAAACCATTGCCTTTTTACCTGGTAACTTAACTACCTAGGCCTAGGCTAACTTAAGTTAGGTCTATTTTTTTATTAACTTAACTTAAGTTAGTGGATTTTTGTTTAAATTGTAGGCTACTTAACTTAATCTTAGCCTGGTTAAGTAAGCCTAAGTTAACTTATAGATTAACCTTCCATCGGTGACACCACAGAGTTTAGGCCTAAGTTACCTACGGGCGCATTTGTTAAAATAAAAATGCTAATAAGGTTAAGTTATCGCCAGCCGACAGTTTTAACTTAACAATTTAAAAATAACAAGTTAACTTAACTTAAGTTAGGCCTACTCGTTATTTTTCAAATTTCAGAACGGTACAGTGGAGTCCCGATAATCCCAACTGGCAAGTTACTGTAGCCTAATCCAAAAGTCCTACTTATTTACCTAAGTTATAGGTCTAATCCAAAACCAAAAAATAACGGTCTATTTTTTTATATTTGGTTTTTTTACTAAAAGTGATGACCCAGTAACTTACGTGCTGTCACCCTTTCAGGAAAGCAGAAACTGCTAGCACTGTCGTGTAACAACAGTTAGTTTTGATATACCTCGTTGAAGTATTCTGTAGCGGCCGGGTGAGAAGACTTCTTGTAAAACTTAGAGTATTTTAGTAAACATTTTTAATTTTCGTCCAGGGTTCCAGTCCCGACAAATCCCCAATGGATTTTTTCTAAGTGATTATGCCGCAACTTCTTGGTCTAGCCTAAAATAATGTGAAAAACAATACCGGGCTCGTGCCTTGTATCCTAAGTTAGGACAACGATTTGTTAAATAAATAAAAAAAATTGTGGTATTTATTGCGACTAACATGACCTTAGGAACCTATAAGTTATAGATTTACATATCACCAGAAACTAGATTAGGTATTAGCTAGGCCCCTAAATATAACGGTGCAAAACAATTTTCGTGCTCACAAATATTAACGGAGTTATGTCTGTTTTAAGTTTTAAATTTATAAATCCAAAATGATTGGTTGGCTGATCCAAAATTGGTCCTGTCCCAACCATTTCGGACTATTAAGCGGGACTCTACTGTGCTTCCGAACGTAGCTTGTTTAAATTAAGTTATCTTAGGCCTATTTGGGTGTGTTGCTAAGGGCCGCTAACTCTGATTGCGGTTTAAACTCTAGTTTAACCTCAGATTCACTTTCCCCAAAATAATTTCTCCGTTTAAACTAGGTTTAAGTTAACCCTAGGGGTAAAGCTGGTTTAACTGGCGATCCGTGGGTTAACCCAGGAGAGAAGAATAATAGCTTGATTTTGATTGGCTCTTGGCTGACTTGTTACTTTCGGCAGACGGCAATGGCAAATATCCTTGTTTGACATTTGTTAAACATAACCTAAAATAAATTGAACTGGAAATAAATTAAGAAATAAAAAACCAGAACCTATGTAGACAATTAATTCATGACTATTTCAAATTTAAAGATATAAGGCTACAGAAATACAGTAATGGTTTTAAGGTTTTTAAATGCGTAGAGTAGCCCTAAATTATTATATTTTCGGTAGGTATAGTATCGTAGTTGTGTACAATCGATAGGTTACCTTGTCCACAGCAACGCAACAGTGGTTGGAAAGTTTGCTCATAAGAAGCCTTTTGGTTTGATTTTATTTTAACACGAGTCTTAGATTACACAAAAGTAAAATATTAAACATTCGGGCCTAACCACTAGTCTATTATTATCATGTGTAAATTAACAACTACTGCAGTACGCCTAAAATTAAATTTAGTTTAGAAACATCGAACGTGTCTAATGCTGAGTAGCCTAGGCCTGCCATTACAAAGGATAGGCTCTAGTTTTTAATCCACAAACATTAATTTTGCGTCTTTCCCAACATTTTATTTTCCCATGATTGTAAATGCTTTTATTTTATGCGTACAGTAGGCCTACTGTTTAATTAAGTTTGAGCTTAAATAAACACAATAAATGAAATGCTTATAAATAGCATCAGTACAATTTATTAGCCTGCAAATAAAAATGTTTCTTTTTAATGTCAACAATTGGAGACAATGACACGAAACCTAATACAAATAACCAAAACACGAGAAAATTAATGACAGATATGTCATAGTGGGAAGTTAAACAGCTAATATTGCAGACAAAATTGCATAACAGTGTTGCCAACATTGTTGCTTGCAAAGAAAAGCTAGGTTAAACTAAACTTTCATGACAAAATAGTGGGGAAAGCCATCCTAAGTTTAACCCACAGATTAAAGTTAACCGAGATTAAGTTAAACTTGATTTGGGGAAAGCGGCCCTAAGTATCCTATCTTAGTGGTTAACGTCTCGGCTAAGATCTCAAGTAGTAGAAAACCACCAAACTGACTTATTCAGTCGTTGGCCATTCGAAGGCTCACTCATGGATGATATCCTACGGTCTTTATTATGCAACATATAGCACGTTGCGTTAATAGAAAGGCAGGATCAGCCGGCAGCCCCATTTAACTTGCTCGTTCTGACAGTTCAGATGACTTTACAAAAATAGTATTACCAAGGTACTATATTACCTTGTTCCCTTATGCCCGCCTTTAACAACGTTATTTCACTAGCTCTTTCTAACAGTTCAGACAACGATACAAAAATAATCGTATTCTCAGCAATCTATTATTACCTGGTAATATTATTTTGTGATTCTCGCTGTTAATTGAAAGACATGATCAGCAGGAACATTAAATACAGTAGGCCTATATTAAATCAAGTTTATCACAGGTTGGAATATTAACCGAAGCTTTATTAAATTTAAATTGTAAACTAACTTATCAATTTGTTTTCTTTGTTTCAAATTGTGTAGTACAGTGCCTATTCAACCTTCAAACCGTTTATAATGACTTATTTGAAATTTAACTTAGTGGTTTAAATAACTCCTTTAAACAATGAGGATAAATCAGCGAAACCAAATAAGATAGGCAACTTTATACACATGCCTCTTACGTTTTTGTTTTGATAACTTAATTAGTTTCCATATTTCAAAAAATTATCTATGTAGTAGTTGTAAAAACTTTTGATTTTCAAAAATCCTTTGTTCTCAACTCTTTTAAATAAGTTAAGATCGGGTTAGTTCTTAACCAGGGTGCCTACCAGTCAGAAAAAATCAGGCCTAACTGAAATCAAGTTCCCCAGACCTGTATTATTTCATATGTTGCTGCAGGCAATCATTAAATTAATTGCAGAATCAGTGAGGGTGGACATATTTTGGGAGCAGGCAACCAGTCTATGTTTCTGATAAGTTATTGACTTATAATTGGTAGGCCTACCAAAGATTGTGTCTCTAGCGTTCTCCTCCCCCCCCCCCCCACAAGTCACTGAAATTTAGTTTGATCAGCGGATAGAGTACCCTGTTTACATACATAGATTATTGATACAATAGATTAGTTGTCAGAAATGATTAAAATGAGAAATCCTTACTGAAGTTATTTGTTATTGCCATTTTACAGTGATGTAGGCCTACTGTATCAAACATATTGGCATCTCCCCAAATTTATAATGAATTACGCTCTTTTCTTCTGATCTTACCTTCATAAATTAGTTTCATCTGAATAATCCATTCAGTTTCTTATCAACATTTTTTTCCATTTTACATTGGTGTAGTGTAACAGAAGTATTTTTTCACCCAAATTTTATGTCAAAACATTTTTATGCTCGTTCATTTATTCTAAGGGGTGTAAGCGCAACAAATTTCACAAATCCTCCCATTAAAACACGATCATTCAGACTAAAATTTGTATTTAACATATTAGTGATGTAGTATAAAACATACAATCGTGGTTAATTTCTCCAAAATTTTAAATTTGAAGTTTTGTTCATATTTTTCCTAAGTTATGTAGATTGATTTACCGGTATGTTAAAACTTTCTTAATTATGTCATACCTTATTTTTTTAAATCATTTAATTCTTTTGCCAAAGTCTAAATGAAATATTATTTTGTAGCAGATGTTGGATATAATTGGATTGAACTTCAAATCCACATTTTAAATCCTCCATGAATTTCAACAGTTTTCTGATATTCATATTTAACAATTCTTCACTCCTGAATAAAATACAACTTTTTTAAACGAACTAATTAATTAATAAAATCTAATTAATTAACAATAGTCGGTAATTATTATCTTCACCTAACGAACTATTATTATCTATTGCATGCGTATAAATCTTACAAGTATTTATTCTCTCCTCTCCACATATTTATAAATAATTTTAATTTTTTTATAAAAGTGGTATTTACAAAAAAAAGTATTTTATAAATTATTTAGTTTTCTTCTACAAATAGAATACCAAATCGCCCCCTAAAACAAACACTGGCAATATTTTTCACAGTGTACTGTAGAGTGACAAACTCAATTAATCCCTAGCACTTGGGCCGCTCCTAGCGCTCTGGTGAGGGTGGGAGGGGGTTGATGCGAGAGGCGCTGCTGCAAAGAACGGACACGGCAAAGACAAAACAGAACAGTTAACGATTAGGAATGTTTTTTACAGTAATGAGTGAGAAGGTATAAAGCGCGGCCCGGGAATGGGAATGTCTTATTGACCCGGTGGGTGTTGGTGTTATATGGAGGGGGAGCCGGCGACGACGACTAGCGTCAGTTGGTGTTTGGAGCGCGGTGAAGGATGGCTCAGTTTTAACCATGTGGCCTAGTCAGTCGGTGTTCAACGTGCCGGGCTTCAGCCCAGTGTTAGCGGCTCAGCAGGCACAGTGGTGGTATCAGCAGGCTCAGGTGCTTCAGCAACAGCAGGCCGCTGCGTCGTCGCTGCCGCTCGCGTTGGTACGTCTCATTGTTGTCGACAGCTAGGCTGTGTACGGTTGTTATTGTTTACACTATGTCACCTGAGGACAGGGCCAGTTTCCAGATAATTTTGATGGTGGAAAAAGTCCACAGTAATATCCTAAAAACGTACATTGAATGTTGGAAACTTGAAAACCTTGAGGACGATTTGTAAAATAGTTTTTCAGGTTCACTCCGTTCTAAAACATCAATTAAGTATTAGATTTTTTTTTATTTTTGATTACCATTGATTTTAAAACGTGGTAAAACTTTGCATCGTGCCCTTGTTTACCATAAAAATTTTATCCTATAAAAATAAACGTCGTTTATCAGACAGTAATGGTCACGATTTTTCTACAAGTACGTACTAGTATTGACATTTTTCAGATTTCTAACTGTAAAAATGTTTATTTGAAACCATTATGGTATATTGACAAGGTATATTATTAAAATATCCCATACGTATTTTTAAAGAACGTTTTTTTCACATAAAATGTCCATTTAGTTCGGTTATGGTTTTACTTTTGTAATAAATTACTTATTTAACATTGATTGTCATGGTGTGTAATTTAAATGTATCAAATTGGCATTACAGTATATACTAAGTCGCCCTTGTTAGTCTGTAGTATATTTAGTTCTGTGTAGCCTTATTATACGTCGTGAAGTGTTAGTGAAAACTCCGATAATTTGTTCACAAACTTTCTGGAAGGGGGGGGGGGGTAGTAATCGCAGAATCAGAAAACAATCCACATTTGGAATTAATTTATAGAACAGCTTTCAAACAAACTACGTACACTCTTTGAATATTTCTCCATTAATACCTTTATTTCTCCAAAAATATGAGACGCCGATTTCTTTATACGGAAATCTTTAATCATTGTGATAGTTCATTTTTTTCAGTTCCCAAATTGTGTTTATAGTATCAACCTTAATTACTTCAATATACCTATACCTTGAGAACGGCGATTCTCAAAAGTCCAAAGTGACGAAAGTCGTGACGATTTTTATCACAGCGGCGCTGGGAATCGCGAGTTCGCGAGCAGGAGACAGTCAACATCGATTGATGGCCATTTTGTTTTTAGTGCTTTGTGATTGTGACGAGAGCGAACGCTAACGTCGGAGTGAGAGTTATCTCCGGGGGGGGAGGGGGGGGGGGGCGCATCAAACACCCCCCGAATCACCATTGTTGCCCCGACTCTATTAGGCTCAGTCGTAAAATCAATGATCGCTTGCTTTTTACTTTTGTTTCGCCCCCTTTTCTTGTTCTTGTAATTTTTTAGCTTTCTGAGCTTCGCGGAAATGAAGGGTGGGTTTTGGGGAATGTTGCAAATTGGTCATGATGGGAAGGTTTAATTTGTTGTGTGATTCTTTGTTTTATAATTATACCTAGTGAAGGTACAAAAGTAATAATCTATCAAGCGTGTGATAGGCCTACTTCTTAAAAAACATATTATGTACAGGGTGTCCACATTTTGGAAAGTCATGGAAATCACCAATGATGGATGGATTTGAGGGGACCATTCAATACTCTAGTCGGCCGTAACACCGACTATTGTAGCGTCTTTTCAGGACTTTTCACAAATTTTCGACGATTTAATTTATTACAGTTGTATTAGTTTATGAGTTTTGGGTTGGTTCATTGTTGTGCCTATTTTACTCCATTGTTATCTGGTTAATATACAGGGTGAGTTTTTTAAAGTGATCCAAATAGCTAACTTTTTAATTACACGACTTAGCACCACACTTTAAATTTGAAACTTGCTCAATTTTAAGTTTCACTCAAGAATACGATTTCAGATTTTTTCATTGTGGCCGCCATTTTCCAATATGGCTGCCAACTTTAAAATTTCTTATGGAACACCCTGTATATTATTTTGTTTTTAGATTTTACTCTAAAATACCCCCGCCGCAGCAAACCTGCCGTCTAAGCGAATTTCCATTTGACTGAATTGATTTTCAATCGATCTATTTAAATAACATTAGGTTTAACGAGTACCTAGGTTTGCTCCTACAAGGAAACTAATAAAGTGTGTGTTTTAAGTAAAATAATTATTGATTAGTAGAAAATGAATATATTTGCCAAGTTTGATCAAAAGATATCCATAAACAAGCAAACTACAACATTTTAAAATATTCTCCATAAGAAGAACATGGGAATTTTAAATTTACAATTTTTTTAGTTTTTTCCGTAACCAATAACCGTACAAAAACACTTTGATATACTGAATTGTTTGTTTTTTTAAGCTCTTTAAGAAGGTTTAGAGAAAAATTGGGAAATTTTGTGTTTTGAGGGTCAAAAGTGAGAAAAACCAATTTTTACCCCATAAAACCCCCCATAAAACCCTGTTCCCATGGTCCGATCATGCTGGATCGCGAACTCATTCAAGTTTATCCCGCCTTACACCTTCAAACCAAATTTCATCATAATCGGATAAAAATTACTCAAGTTATCGTGTTCACGGACACATATATATATAAATCTATATATATATATATATATCTATATATATATATATATACATATATAAAAATTTGAACGAATGGTGTTTTTGGCCTCTGGGGACATCAAAATGAAAAAGTAAACCGGTCCCGGGCCTATGTCTTACCATGAGACCTACGGTAATAGCTACTTCCCTATAGGGAAATTCGCTAAAATAAAACATTTTTGTTCTTGAGATTTTTTCAATATCTCTAACGGTTAAGGAGCTACGAGGACTTAAAGTTTTCATACAAAGTTGCATGAATTCTAAAGCATGTTTTAAAACAATGTTAGTTTTAAGTGTTGTTACTGTTAATACTTAACAATTTGTCCTCGTAGCTCCTTAACTATTAGAGATATTGAAAAAATGTCAAGAACAAAAATGTTTTATTTTTTAGAGTAAAATCTAAAAACAAAATAAAATACAGGGTGTTCCATAAGAAATTTTAAAGTTGGCAGCCATATTGGAAAATGGCGGCCACAATGAAAAAATCTGAAATCGTATTCTTGAGTGAAACTTAAAACTGAGCAAGTTTCAAATTTAAAGTGAGGTGCTAAGTCCTGTAATTAAAAAGTTAGCTATTGGATCACTTTAAAAAACTCACCCTGTATATTTCAGTATTTTTTTGTGAAATAACTTGTCTATGCATTATTATTATCCGTGCGTGTATGTTACGGTATATAATAATTTTCGGGTAAAGTTTGTGAGTCATGGAAATTATGTAGCTTATGTAGCTTGAAATTTTAGTACTCTAGGTGTTTAATTAATACGAAAAACTATCAATTATTTGTAGAAGTGCCTGTTTTTTTGTTCAAATCCAAATTATTTACTAGAATAGTGCGAGTTTTCAGTTATTATCTTATTGTGAAACCTGTTTTGACGTGAATTCTACTTGTCAACTGTTGACTGCGGATGGATTTCCCGTTTTTTTTTTTTTTTACCTTAAAATTTTTCTCTGTACACTTGTGTTAATCCCACGGATGAAAAGCTAGTAGACCATTTATTTGGTTATTATTTATTTTGATGAGGTCGATGAACAACAAAATGCTAATCGGGACGTACATTAAGTTGTAGGATGTTCCATGGCTCTCTTCGTTAAATCAAACTGTTTTTCAAACTCCTGCGTTTTGTTATCCTTAATGTTGGGTTTTTAACGTTTAGTAAAATTACACTTTTTGTTGGAATTCATAACTTCCAATTTTGTTGTACCTCTAATTTGCACGGTGAGTTAAATAATTTATATCAAATCAAATAATTACCGTAACAAAAATACCACCTTAATTTTCAATGGATTTCTAGAGATACGAATTGACCCAGCCTCTAATCTAACAGGTTTTCCGATTATAATAGTTTGGAAATCCCCCAAAGGCTAGGCTTCAATTACCAACGATCTAATTTCTTTTAACTTCTAAAAAAAAAAAAATAACTCTTGTTTCAGTCTTGAATTGATTTTCATTTGAACTATTATTAAAAACTATTTTAAGGTCGCCAATTTTTTACGGTGAAACTTTCGGATTTTCTATACAAAATTTAATATATCTGGTTGGATAAGATAGCTAACATTTTATCAACGCTAAGGTAAGCATATGCGTGACAGTCTAGAGATAGATATTCAACACGGTACAAACACAATGGCTCGTTGTATCAGTGAATCGCTGAGTCGCTGTGTCTGTATTCAGCGATCCGCGGGGTTCAGATAACAACAGCTGCCAATGTACAATGTACTGATACAGCGGAAAACCGACACGCGCTGTCGATATATTGGAGAGTAACCGACGCAATAAAACATTGATAAATGCGCTTAGTGATTATAATAGCTATGTGGTACGTGTATTTCTCGCTGATTCGATCCTCAGAAAATCCGTATTTAACTTTTCGAAACTGGATACAGGATATCATTGATAATTGGGCTTTGAATAATTGTACTGGTTAAAAGTATTGGGGTTTTGTTCAGTTAGGTGCGTCTCACTCCGTTCTACAATCAAATGGTGTAAAAATGTTTAATTTTTTCCCCATCTTAATTAATGAATAATGAAGATTGACTGGTATTCGGTTTGCCGCTCTAAATCGGGAAAATATTTCTCAACAGAAAGTTTAGTGGTGTTTTTATAAGGAGATTTTAATGTGGAGGTGTCCTTCAACAATGTATTTACAAAGTAATTCGACAGAGAAACTTCTCAGAAAGATTAATCAATCAAATTTCATTATATTATTACACCTATGCATATTGTGGTCCGATTAAAATACTCTTTGATACCTTTTTTAAACACTCTTCTGATAACCAGTTGTAATGGATCACCATTGTAAACGTATTTTGTATTAAATATTTACTACAAATTTTTATGTCCCTCTTTCACATCCTAGGACGTAAACATTCTCTACCTTATAACAGTTTTTCACATTATACTTCAGGATGGCCTGACCCAAGACAAGAGGACCATGGCATTTATAAAATCCATCGGTGGTTGGTGAGATTCGAACCCGGGACCCGGTGACCGAAGTTCCGAGCTCTAGCTAGCTCGCCAAAGTATACAGGTTACGCCAATTTCTGACATCCAAGTCCAGTCTAGCCACCTTTCGTACATATCTCGATGTACAGAATATATTTACAAATGCAGAATCGGTCTCCGAGTGCTGTGTCCGAGCACAGAACAAGATATGTAATGTAATAAAAACACAGACACCGGCGTCCTGCTGGTGTTTTGGCCTTGGTTCGACCAGTTTGCCCACGTGCCTGTGAGAACAGGTGTGTGTGTGTGTGTGTGTGTGTGTGTGTGTGTGTGTGTGCTCACCTCGTCTTCAGGCTATGATGGATGTGAGGTGTCTTGCTCGCACCAGTGACCGACCGCTTCCGCCCGTCTGGGGAAACTGAAATAGCTGTCCAAACTGAGGGTGTTTTCAGTGTCCAAAACTTGTAATAGCTTGTATGAAAATAGGGGTAAGCTGTGTCTTGAGGTCTTCATGTCTTGAGTTTAAACGAGTTCAAATTTCAATGTGGTGGACAGTGGCGGTCCCAGAATTTCATTTCGGGAGGGGTGTGACAACCGGGGGGGTCTGGTGTATGGAATATCCTAAAAACGTATTTTTATACGTATTGGAGCTCTAAAATATTCTCAAGCTAATACTGTATTATTATGTTGGCTAATAAAATATAAAATATTTCTGGGGGATGTATCCTTCCCATCCCCAAAGGGTGTGTTGTTACTTGCGTCTTCGACTTCGCTGCGATAGCGACGGGCTCGGTATTTGGAATATCTGCAAAGATTCAAAAGTTGTCTGTTCGATGGGACCTGTCTCCTGTCCCTCTGGGACTGGCTAGGTTTACCATTGGCCTGCTACAGATCAGGAGACAGGTTATATCACACAGAGTATAACCTAAAAGCGTTTGTGATTCTGTTATACGAAATGTCAGTGACTTGGACACTAACAAAGTTACGTATATGCATTTTGTCCGAATGACTTTGAGTCCAATAATACCATGCTTGTGCATTTTGTCTAAAAGTAGCCTACGCTGAGTGTGGTCAGAATAATTGGTCGTAGGCCCAATTACGTTGAGTCAGCAAATTAACTACGTTGTTGTACAAAAGCACGCTAATATTAAAATGCGTTCTCCCTAAAAGTGTTCAGAAGTCGTGGTCTTGGGTAAAAGCATAATTGTTTCAATGCGCTCCCTCATTGCACGTGTCCTTGAATCATACCAAGCTATATTTATTACGTTTGAAATTAGTCCAAATGTGATTGTTTTCAAATTAAGATCGCCTCTGCAAATTTCTTCTGTAGTTTAATCTCAACTTGAGTATAAAACTAGATTGTATACGTAGATAAACACGTAAGATGATCAAGATAATAATTGTACGATTGAACGACGAGATCGTTAAGTAAATACACTCCATAATACCTTTTACTCCTATAACAACACGATCTGAACCGGTATAGTTTTGTTTATTTTCATTGTAAAATATAGTAAGTGTTTTTAATCGGACTTCCCCGGGGTTTTTTCAAAACCGGTTTTGATTCTTTCATAAGAAATGCCACTGGCGTGGACACTTAAAAAATACGTACTTGCACCGTGCCAAAAAATCAATTCTAGGTTTTGTCCAACATTTCATTTATTGGGAATTCCGAATGGTTGTTCTATCTTAATAAACTACGCTTGTACAACGTGTGTAACATTTTATACATCGTCTTTAAAGTCGATTTAAATATCGTGACTTCCACTATATATCCCAGTGAAGCGTGTATTCCAGTGTTGTGAATCCACTGTTGTGGGGGCCGAGTTATTCCTTATCCCAACCCAAATGACCTCGGCCCCCGACCGGTCCCCAAACCGGCCGGTAATTTCTTTTTTAATGCATCAGCATTGTACCGTGTACCTCGGCGTTTCGTCCTGTAGCTGCCACGTCCGTTGGAATGCTCTTAAAAGTCAGCCGCGCCGCATACTTGGGACTTTTGTTTTTGTCTCACACTGAATTGTGGGATTGCTAGTGGAGTTTTATCTCGTGACTAAATTTATGTTGACTTTTTGGGAGAATGTGTGTGAATAAGTACGGTTAGTTGTGTAGTCTCGTGGTGTTTTATAGAATATAGCAGTTTGTCTTGTTCAAATTTCTGTAGGTGACGACGAAGTTGACAATTTACGCTGCTTACTCTGGGAAAACTAGAGCACCAATCAATATATCTTGCCTATCGTATTTTGTAAATGAAAAATTATGGTAATGTTCCAAATCCCAGTTTTGAACGATATTGGACAGGGTTTTTCCTATGTTTGACTTAATACGGCTACCACCAAACCAATAATCAGCTGTTTAAAGAAAGGTTCTTCAAACTGTCACTTGTTACAAGTTATTTACATAATAGTGATCGGTTAACCTTATGTACAATCAACACCCAAAGTTGCTATAAAGTTGAACACGCTAAACGTTATTTAATTAAGTAAGCTATACTTTTGTCAAACAAAAGCTTATCACCAATTTAAATCCAATGGAATGAATCTCAAGTGAACTCTTCAATTGTCTTGGTAGATAACAGTGCAAGTGTAACGCCATCGAAAGGTTTATAATCCTTATTCATTTGGCAAAATACTCGTTCTAATCGAAATGATGAGTTATAAACAATTAATTACCAAATAGTTAAGCTGGGCAAATTAGCATTTTCTAAAACATTTTTAGTTTGCATCGGTGTATTCAATTGGAACCTCGTTCGATCAAATAAAATAGTTAATAATATAGTTTATCGTAACGCACATAAAACGTGATACTAATGCAGTGTGTTTAAAAACAATGAAGCAAAACTTAACAGGTATATTTTTCGTCGGATTTAAACAACTGGTAATGCAAACTGTGTTAAGAACACGTTTTGATTATGTTTAGTCTTGCCTGCTAGATTAACTGTGACAGACTTTATTGTGATTCGGAGTTTGCTTGAGTTAGAGCAGCTGTGATTGTTTAATGCAACTTTTGAAACAAAGATAAAGTATTCTTTATATAACTGCATACGATTGGTGACAAAGTTTTTTTGAACAGCTACAACTACGAACAAAATCCAACGCACAGAAAGCCTTCAATTGCTTTTCAGTAGCCTAATAAACAAGTCTTCCAATCAAGTAGCCAAGACATAACAACTGTACCAAAACAAACTTACGTTATATCCATTGTTGCAACAGCTGTTTTAATCAACAAACAATTTGGCAAACTAAAATCACCTGTTTGGCTTTGCACCACTATTTTTTAAACATCGTGTAGTAGTTTTGCAGTATCTGAAGTCAATTATTTGGGAATTGGTCGGAACATTTGGGTGGACAGTTGCCACAGTTGCCGTTTGTTCTGTCGGTGTTGGCCTGTAGTAGCTGTATTGTTTACTGCATCGGTTGGCAATGACCTTGACCTTGACCGATAATAGCCGCCCTACAACCCTTACTCCATCTCCATCTCACTCGCACTCTCTCTTTCTCTTTCATGTTGTGTTTCGGAAGTGTTCGGGGTTTTTTGTAGGGTTTGAATCGCTGAGTGGAAAAGAATTCGGTTTGTTTATTGATGTTTATTATTATTATTTTTGCTGCGTTTCTTTTTTGATTAATTTTAAATACAGTATATTATTTACATTTTTATTACGTAAAATTATTTCGTTTACTTTACTTTAAAACATTTTTAGTAATTTAATTTATTTAAATATGTATTCTATTTTTAAATTTTGTTTACATAGATTTACATAGTAAGCACAAACTATTTTCTTAATCTCTAACTCCCTCCCCTGTTTTTAACAGTATTCCTATAAGACTACAAGATATTAATATATTTTTTTTTAATACAACAAATTCAACAACTTATTTTCGCTCATATTCACCTTAAAATATGATCCTGGTGGTGTCGGCGTTGTTAATAAAATATAACTAAAACAATTTTTAAGATTAAACCTTTTGGTTTTTTTTTTAGGTCTAATGTATTCTTTGGTAGTTAATAAATCCTACAATTTTATCGTCCCTGCCACAAAATCAGCGTTAATTCCAGTCAATTCGTGAAAACCATTCCTAATCAGCTACATACAAATAAATACAATTTACGATGAAATATGTTTTTGTTTCAGACAAAGAAAATGCCACGTGTAGCAAAAGGAGATGCTAAGCCCAGAGGGCGTATGACCGCTTACGCTTACTTCGTGCAAATCTGCAGAGAGGAGCATAAGAAAAAACACCCGGAGGAGAATGTCGTGTTTGCGGAATTCTCCAAGAAGTGCGCCGAAAGGTGGAAGGTAAGAGTTTTTCAGTAGTATTGTGTTTGTTTAGATCTTGCACAGAGAAGTAAGTTATAGAAGAAACATTCAATGGGACATTTATTGCTGGTCTAGTACCCCACTCCCTCTCACGGTGAGGAACACCCTGTTTCCTTCCTTCGAAATAGAAATTTCCTCTCAGTGCTCATGCTGGGGCTCTTCCTTGCTTGTCACAAGTATATTTATGGCACAAAATACTAACTAGAGCTGAAAGCACACAATTGTCCCATAAGCAAGTTTCCTCTATAACTTACTTCTCTGTGGGTTATGAATTTGAATGGAATGTAGGAAGGATGAGGGAACATTTTTTTTTCAACAACGCTTAGAGTCGATCTATACGCCAGAGGTGTTAAATTAATCCAACGGCAATTAATTGTTTAAGTTACTGTACAAATATCAATATCAAAAGCGATAGTGGGGACGGGTTCCTGCGTTATTGTTAGTCTGATTCTCGTTATTTCAGTAATTTAAAACCTCCTTTAAGCAAATAAACCTAATCTAAACACAAACAATAACTCGTCCTTTAGTTATACCTAAACAGTAAAGTTAGTAAAGTATCGTTAAATTAACCCTCAAATAATAGAAACAAAATTTCGTCAACACTATCGGTCAGTGTCACTAGACATGAACTAGACACGAAAATGAGCTTCAAAATTTACAATAGAATGAGAAGTCTACAAGTTGGATAGTCTATGTTGTTACTCTAAGTGACACAATTTTTACTGTAGTTGAGTAGTGTTTGTGAATGTCGGATATTTACTATGATAGGATAATTCAAGTGTGGCTGAGCGATTTATTTTTTTCACAAAGTACTTATGTGGTCTGTATAGGTTAAGTTGGGCTCAAAATCACTGGTTTAGGCCAGGGCATTATCTTGTAGCTTTAAACTATTGACGATTTGCGGGATTTTTACCCAAGCTCTCTGACCTGACGTCCAAATACAATGATAACTAGACTAGATTGTGCCCATTCGTTTATGAAGCTGAAAACATAATTGGTAAATCCTTTTGTTATCCCATGTGAACATTCTTTACTAGCCATTAAATGACAACAAGCACTGTTTCCGCTAACATTCATTTCATTCAGCAGAAGGAAAGTATTTTTAATGATAGGTTACATTTTCACCAAGCTAAACTGTAGCAACTTTGGAAAACAATTCAGCTGTAGACCTTAGAATTAAGCAAACCAAAAGAGGTGTTCAAATTCATAATGGGTTTCATACACAAAGCAATTAAGAAAATTTGCGGTGAAAAAAAGACAACTTTTAATAAAACTAATGTGGTGACAGCTCCAAATTTTCAACAATAGGCCTACTTAAGTTATTTTTTTTTTTTTTTATTTCCTACTCGTTTCCCAAATCTAATGATATTTAACTTTTAAATTAATTTTGTAAGTAAAGACTTAATGCTCAATAATCAAACGTTTATTTTGTACACTACTTATTATACTTTAAAACGCCTATGCTCCATTTGGTTCTTTATAATACAGTCATAAGTCATTAATGTTGAATGTATGCACAATTTGTTAATTATGTGGCTATTCTTCAGAGAATTTTTACTTTTCTCTAGACTAAAAACCTGTTTGTTTACCAATTATGTAGACCAGTCAAACTGCACCTGTCCTTTTGAGGCACCTGTTTTTAATTATTGCTGTCTACCTTATAACCACTAAGGTGGTTATAGTGCTTGCCTTCAAATCTGAAAGTCGCTGGTTCAAATACAAGTGAGATTGTTTCCAGATGAAGAGGTCATTTGGCTATAAATTAATTATGATGCTATGTAGGCCTAACAATAATGTCAAGTTAGTTATGAAAGAGACCAGGAAGTTAAAAATGCCAAAGGTCACACACATGAAAATTGCACTTAAAATATGTCTTGAATTAATAATAATAAGCTCTTTATTATTTCTTTAAAAAAATTGTATAGTTGATATGCATGACTTAGTAGCAAAATTTAGAAAGGGTGTAACAGTAACAACTTTATTGTCTAGTTGTCTAGTTTATTTTATTTACTTTCCGTAATTTTAATATCACTACAATGCTGATCAAGAAGTTATTTGGTTTATCTTGTTATTTTTAAACTAAAGATTTAATCAGGTGTCGGTGCACTTAACAAAATGTTATTTTAAAGAAATAACCTTAAATATACCCTATTTTGTATTCTGAATTTTATAGTTAAGAGTACATAGTCAAGATATTTTTTGTTTTGAAGAGTTAGTTTACCTGATTTCCTGATTAAAATTTTGTGTGAATATTTTATGAATAAATTTTAGTATTCATTTTTGTGGGATTTGTGAAAGCTATTCAATTTTTGTATTCAAGTTTTCTACATAAATAAATCACAATGCCCTAAGCAAAGTTTTGAGAAGTTTCATAATTTCTATAAATACATTTAGTGCACAAATCATGATTTTCTTAAATGCTTGGGACCTAATGAAAATTGGGCCATAATGAAACAGGTCATAGTTAAAATGATATCAATGTTGGGAGATGTTTACATCAGTTAGTTTAACAGCATGAAATTATCTTTAAATATGAAGGAAAGACCTTAAACAATGTAATAAATAGATTTGTAAAAACAAACCATACTAATAACTGTTTTGTGTGGGTTAGTAATTGTTTTGTTATTACTGTATATGTTAATTGAGAAGAGCGAGTTTTTTCACTTGTATTGCCAACCATAAAACCAAATCGTTTGTTTGCATTTACGTTAATATACATTTTATTTATCTAAAGTATAAAGGTTGAATATTTTAAACTTGTAAACCACTAAACTATTCCGAAAAGATTGACATCTGTTTTGAGTAGATATTTTTATTGCTACGTGGTAAACTATAAACTTATATCAAAAGGTTTTCAAATAGGCTACTGTTCGTATCCAAACCATAAAAGCAAACCGTGTGTCGGTATTTAGAACAAATTCCTGTTGCATTCAAATTTTTGTGTGTTGAATAATGTACAGTAAACTAAATCATTTTCGCCAGCATTGAGTCGAGAGTCGGGTGTGCGACGTGCGATGTTTTGGTTTTTATTTTGGCAAATCGGCATTTCAGACAGACAGACGGACTGTGGACCCGACGGCCTTGCTTGTACCCCCCCCCCCTCCCCCCGCACCCTCCTCGCAAAACAGATTGCACCACACAACCACAATGCATCGTCTTGCCAGTTGCCCTGTCTCAATGTCTACTGAGGCCGAAATGATGTTGGATACAAATGTTCATCGCGATTTTCAAACAAACGTTGTCGCTGCCTTGGTTAATTTTGTATGTTTTACCTGGGCGTGAGGTTTATTTCAATCCATTTTTGGGACAAGGGTGACGAATATTTTGTGGATTAATAATTGGAATTTTGATTTCAAAACGTAGGCCTATTCAGGATTCCTTTTTTAGAAGAAAATCTTCTGAATTTTGCCTAAAAACTGTATTAATGTTGAATTAAATCAAATAAATATTTAGTTAAGGAATGTGTGCAGATCACTAAGTAAAACATTTGGTAGAAGGGAAAATTAAAAAAGTTTTAGTATTTTACTATCAAACTCGATGGGTTTCGTCTTTGGAAGTTTTACGTAGGTGAATAATAATATTCGGGGTAACTACAATATAAACAAAAGTGATCGAACAATCGTTTTTAAGAGGTCTGTCCGTAAATTAAGGTCTCAAACGAGCTCCTACGACTGCGTCAGTCCGAGTAATGGGGCAACATTGCTGTGTTCCTGCTTCTGCACAAACGTGCAACGAGGCCGGCCGCGGGCGTCCGTCAGTGTCGGAAGACACGGTAGCGAAAATTGGGCAAATTTTGCTCGCTAAAAGAAATAAAACAGAACAGAAGAATAATTAAGTCTGTTGACGTAGGGAGATTTTTACACCTCACGTGGTCCGCGCTACGACGGGGATCTTGGATTCGGGCACAGAAATCATACTACCGGTACTATAAGTTATAGTAATATGTTTTCTGTGATTCGGGTGAAAATTCATCGACTATCCTCCATACAGCCATTTTTTTATCCCTAAATTACTGCTATTTTATGTTTCCAGCCCTAAACAAAATTAATAGGAAAGACATTCTCAAGCCTTGGAGTAAATAAAACACCGCTTGTGCACAAAACGCATTCTTAACCGCTCGTATATTTATTTAAAAAAAATTTACAAAATATTGCTCTCAGAGCGAAAACACTCTATTAATAAACACTTTTTCTTATTACAAAAGACTTTTTAACGCAATTATACTCGTTCTTAATTACACAAATCTTTATTAATTAAAAAATCGTTTAAACAAAAGTCACCCGCCAAATCGTTCGCGGACAAAATGCATTTGGGAAAACAAGTAACGTGATTAGATAAACAAAACGCGTGGCTCTATCAACGTTTCAACCCCGCTGATGCTAGCTGTATTGATCATTATTAACGAGCTTGTTTTCCATAATTAGAAAGAACCGGGAATCAGCACTGAGCTATCGTCTCTCTCTGTACTGTATTTGCGCGCGCATTAGACCAACCGCCGCTGAAGGCTTTAAAAATCAATGCTCTCGCGGTAAAGGACTTTTCTCCCTCTTCTCCGTGTCTTTCTGTCTGTGTGACAAGTGCTTTAAATCATCGTCCTTCGTGAGGGGGGAGGGGGGTCGATAATGTTTCCCTCACTAATTCTCTCCGCGAATACGGTAATTCTGAAGGCCCCCCCCCCCCCCCAGCGCACCGGAGCGTTTGTAGATGTGTTGTTTTGTGTTTAATTTTCTCGCTGTTTTGGTTATTTATTGCTTCCGCGAAAATTATTTAAGGGTGTTGTGTGTGGATCGGACGTCTTATCGTTTGACAATTCAATATCTGTTTGGTTGAGGTTTTAAGTATTTAAAGCTGTATTTAAAATTGTTTAATATTGTAATAAATATTGATAAACTTTTAAATAAAAATTAAATGTGTGAATTTTTTATTTATTTTTGTATTAGGTGTTAAAAAATGTTGTTTTTTTTTTCTTATGAGTAAAGAAATATTTTGGATTCATCTTTCAAAATTAGTTGGAAATTATCATACACTACAAAAAATAAAAGATAGTGGTCTTTATCCCAACTGTATCAGGTCTAAGCACTGCCCACATGATAACTGTTTATTTGGTGAGAAAACTGGCCTAGTGTGTTGTATGGTTGGTTGAACAATGGTTTGGTCCAAGACCCCAGGTTCAAATCCTGCCAATCACCAGTATCTCGATGTGACTGTACTCTCTTGGCCTAGTATCAGCCAAACCCAAAATTGTTTTTCACAATTAAATGGCTCTCAAAACTTTTAGTAACATCCAACTCAGTAGGCTATATACTAGATTGGTTTGTGTTTTTGCTTGTGCAAATCAAGACGTATGGTGATATGTGACAAGAATGATAATCCAATTAAATATTTTCCTTGAAAAACAATTCAGGAGCTGTTAGGCAGATGAAATGTAGAATTTATTTATCTATACATCGGACAGATCCTCGCTAATCGAAGGGAAACGTTTGCCTATTTCAAACCAATGGTCGAGGGGATATGGTTACTATATTTAAATAAAAACTTTTTAGTTTGTATTGGCAAGACTGTGGTTCAGTTGCATGTTTATAATATTAAAATCTAATATTTGTGTTTCAGACAATGTCTGACAAGGAGAAGAGCCGATTCCATGAGATGGCTGATAAGGACAAGAAGCGCTACGACACAGAGATGCTCACCTACACACCCAGCAAGGGCGAGAAGGTGCGCGGCAAGAAGCGCAAGCACATGAAGGACCCCAACGCACCCAAGCGATCACTGTGAGTCAAACATGACAAATGACAAACAACAGTGTGTGACATTGTTTGATGTTCATTTTGGGTGATCGTGGGTTTATGGTGTTTGAGGGATTATTGCGGGAGTTTTCCATCAGGATTTGTAAAACACCATGTTCTACTCTTATCATGATTGTCCTCTGTGATTGCTGCAGAATCAAGAACATCAACTGCAGTCACTAAGACATACATAGCCTAATCGTTTCCCTTTATCATAGCTAGATTTATTAAGAATATTTCCCACAGTCACAGAAATCTGATCGTCTTTTTAAATCTTGGTGACGTCAGAAATTCCCATCGTGCAATCTTCGCAGACTTAGTAGGCTACCTAACTGTTAATGACGTCCAATTTAGTTGGAGTTTGTCTACTACGTATGACATCAATTCTTTGCTGTTTCACAACACTGCTTTATTTGTATTAGACGTCCACCAGGCTTCGTTGTGTAAGCGATACCTCTGCAATTACAATTATGTCTGTACTCGGCCTAAAGGTTGTTTGTCAATACCCAAAAATATGGAAATATGACTGAAATATGATTACACAATTTTCAAGTTTGAGTAGGTACGTTGTTAACTATTAAGTTTTTATACATTTTCTCAAACTACACAATATACTAGTATAACTATGGTTTAGCGTGGTATCAGTGCATTAACACTCTTGTTGTTGCAGGTCTGCGTTTTTCATGTTCTGCAAGGACGAGAGGCCGAAGGTGAAGGCCGCCCACCCCGAGTACACTGTTGGCGACATCGCCAAGGAGCTGGGCAAGCGATGGGCCGAAGTCGAGGGACCCGACAAGGCCAAGTTCGAGGCTCAGGCTGAGAAAGACAAGGCCAGATACGACAGGGTAAGGATGTCTTTCCAATACAACATTCGGTATATTCCAGTATGTGGAATTGACAATGTGTAAAACAAGGACTCTTCCAGGGAGTCTTGTTATTTATATTTTAAAGGAAAGCCAATTGGCTAGTAAGGGTTGTTTTTTAAAAGGAAACTAATAAACACAAAACATTTCGTCCTTCAGAGAGAAGGATCACTTTAACCTACTCTCTGAAGAGTCCTACATCAGGACGAAAAATCCGTGTTGTGTTTTGTGTTCTTTAGCCTCTGCCTCAGGTAAGCTAGCTGAACCTCATTCCTTTTCATAAAATTTGTGTGTTTTTTTTATAGTTTGTCTGTATGCCGAACCCTTAAAACTCTTTCCTCTAGAGAACTGGGTAAACCAACCATTTTCAAAATAATTTAATAACAGTGGGATACATTTTAGTTGAACAATTACATATCATACATTTCTTCAACACAGTTGTCTTTGCAGGAAATGACAGAGTACAAAAAGAAGCCCAAGGGTGTGCCAGCCCCAGTCAAGGGTGAGAGTGAAGAGGACGAGGAAGATGAGGAGGATGAGGAAGACGAGTGAAGTGTCCTGTGTGAGACTGAGATCGGGGGACTCGGTGTTTTGTTGACTCAATAGTGTGGACACCGATTTTGCCTTAACGATTTATTTTCTGCCCCCGGTCCTCGAGGCCTAACGTGTATCTAGAAGTGATTGTACAGTTGAAGCTTTTCGTTTGCGATTACCTTTAATTAGATTGTAAGTTTCATATTCATTTAATTTAAACAGAGTTGTTTCCGCCACGCGGTATCGAGGAATCGATATCCATTTCACATACTTAAGTTTTCTTTTATTCTTCGACAATACAGTCCATCGGTTCCTCGATACGGCAAAATCTATTTATATAAGTGGTCAGTGTTTGCACAATACAAATAGATTCGAGATTGTAAAATAACTATTTTTATTATTTAAGAGTCGGTAGGAGTGTTTATAAGTACAATAATTACAATAGCTACAATAGTACCCGGATCTATAAGACTGCCTCATTGTTCGTTTTACATTCCTCCACCAAGAGTGTAATGGTTGCAATAATTTTATCTTGTTAGTTTACCGTTTCATCACCCATCATGACAAAGTAGAGTAAAAATTTAAAGGATACATTGTTCGTTTTGTATAAGAAAATAAATAAATTTAAAAATTTGTGGTTTTTAATTGTTTAAAAATTTATTCTTCCTTACCTGTGGTTCCTTTATACATGTGTATCACCTTGTATTAGAGGAGGCAATGGTATAGTGGCGAATACCCCACGATCAGGTGAAAAACATTAAAAAGACTTTCATGAAGATATGAAATGTTATGACATTTCTTCCTTCATGTAATTAGATGTCAAATTAGATTTTGGTAGTATTTGATGTACACTTTTAACTAGTTAATAACATTTAGTAAAGGAATTAACAAAATCACACATTTTTGTACTAAATATTAATTTATCAGTTAAATGATACAAAATATAATTTGTTATATCAAAGTCACAAGTATATATTTATCATTATTTTAAAGAGTTTACCCTACAAAACCAAATTAATAGTACATCTTACTTAAATTTACTCATGGCAGTGTTAGCAGCTTAAATATTATATTTTCATATGCTTATACAAGTAAAGTTATTGTTAAGAGTTTTAACTGACATTTTTCACTTACAATCTGGGAAGGATTGGAAAACTGTATATATTTTCTACACTTGCTTCTGTACTAGTTAAATATTAGTTACTCCTGTTTAACTGAACTATTTTAAAATATAACAATTGTAAACAAGAACTAGAATACAGTAGAACCTTGATAGGAAATCTCTCATGGGAATTATCAAACATGACTTGATATCAAGGTAGACTACTTATCGAGGTTCGCAATAAGGTATGATTATGGATAATACAAAATCAAGGGTTTTGGAAGATCACATTTTTGCAAGAAAGGGTGACTTATTGTCACTGGCTTCTCCAAACTCAAAACTTCGTTGGTAGAAAATACTGAAATAGTGAAATCTCTTGTGCAAATCCTTAAATTTACGGAAAGTAAATAAAAAAAAACGTCTTCTTAACACATATATTTACGCTTATTACATACTGTTACTCACAAGACGGTAAATATACAAAAAAGATGGTAAGTGGTGATCGATATCGATTGGACACTCAAATCATCATCAGACCCAATAGGCGAATCTTAATCTCAATAGTTTCGCCTATTGGGTCTGATGATGATTGGAGTGTCAAATCGAAATCGATCACCATTTACCACCTTTTTTGTATATTTACTGTCTTGTAAGTAACAGTATAAGCGTAAATATATGTTTTAAGTGTTATAAGACGTTTCTTTTATTTACTTTCCGTAAATTTAATAACACGTACAATGCTGATAAAGGTATTATTTAAATCCTTAAAACGTAGGCACTTGTGCTCTATGTTACATCCTTACTCTCAAATATAAAAATGCATGATTTTAAATTTAAAAACAAATTATACATCATGTAGTTAACTAAACCGTTGATATTATTTGGAATGTGGTAACTATTAGTTTAATGGTAACAAACATTTGCAACTTATTACACAATAGGCTACACAAAGTATCTTGAGCATAAATATTTCACACCCTGTAGATAGCTAAGTGGTAATTCTGGTAATCTAAAGATCACGGGTTCGATCTTGAGAAAAGACAGTGCAGTAGCTTTCTGTAGGTTCAAAACATGACCCAGCTATCCCTGGCTTAAAAAAAATATTCCGGTCTATCTAACTGCCAGCCTTGTACACACAGCGGCCTGCAATCCATGTAGAGTCGACGTGAAGATCGTCCGATAGCAAGACAAAGTCTGCGTCTGCACCGTAGTCAAGCGAACCCTTGACTTGGGACAGACCAATAGCTTGCGCAGGGTGTAGCGACGCCGCTTCCAGAGCTTCCACTACTGAACACCCTGGAAAAGTTGTTTTAGATTATTCTTTTGTATTACTAATAGTAGGCCAGCTATGATATATGCCTAAACAGTTTTGGGATCATAAACATGGTTTTAAAAGTTACATCGACTGATAAAATGTACAAGTTTACTGTGGCTAATTTTATTTGAATAAATTATCCAAGGCACATACTTAGGATCATGCACCGGTTGATCGTAAGATACTTCTGCAAACATAACAACGCACCTTTCTAACATGCAAGGTAATGAGGCTATTTTATTATACAATACCAAAAGATTTTTTGGAAATAACTGATGTTTGGACACAGGCCCATTAACTAAATTTAAGGTATTTTTGGTTAAGGCTCTAGGCCAGAATAGGTTTGATTTTTTTTTATTGGAAGATCAGGTTTACCAGTACATTGGGTGACTCTTAAATAAATATATGTGTCCTAAAGACATGCTGTTTCTTATTCCTGCTCCCTTTAAAAAGGTAAGGAATTATGCATAGTAATTCCTACAATGCTAGGTTAAATTAACTTTGGTATTACCGTAGAGGACACTAACCAACACAAGTAGACTTCTCACCCCATTGACAAATCTAAAGTTTATGTTTCGTGTCTAGTTCATGTTGATGACACTGGAGACTAGTGTCAACGAAATTTTGTTTCTATTATTTTAGTGTTAATTCAATGACTTGCGCTTTACTTTTTGGTTATATAGCCAGGGGATGAGCTATTATTTACAATTATATTGTTTTATTTGGATAAGTCATGTCATGTCTAAAATAACTGAATTAGCAAGAAACAAATTGTAAACAAAAACCTATCCCTAAAGACACCAGACAGAAATATTTCTTGAGGTTATCATAAAGGATGACAAATCTACCAAAGGGAGTAAGTAGGCTATGGTATCGGCAAGTGATCCTGTTGTAGTTTAACCACCATGGTTTTGAAAACCTTGATGGCTTTCGACTTTGTTTTCAAGTTTATGTGAACATTAAGCAGCATTAATCCTCTTCAACCTGGACGATGTGATTTGTCTTGAAAAACACAGAAAACAAACACACAAAAGCTCTTAAAAGTCAGCATGGCCACAACTGTTTTATTGTGGCCATGCTGACTTATAAAAAATAAGTTTTAATGGGTTTATGTTCGGGGAGCGAGCTGGTGTAGTGGTTAGAGTGCGGGAAGTCCCTGAGGTCCCATGTTCAAATCCCGCCAAGTCACCAATAGATTTTATCTAAGTGATAATGCCGCAACCCCTAGGTCTAGCCTGAAGTAATGTGAAAAACAAGCCCGAAAAAAAATTTTGTGTTCTGTTGTTTTGTAAGAGGAATCTTCATACCATCCATATCGAAGTGGATTATTGTTAGTGTCTACGTTGACGTGAAACTGAAGCCAAAAGGCTTCTAAACCGTGGTAGTCACACTACAACAGGATCACCTGGCTATACGGTAATTTAACCTACTATTTTAATAATCATAGTGATTCAGAAGCCACAATTAAATAGTGATTTCCACTTACCGCTAGCCTTGCGAAAGTAGCGGACACAGTAGTCCATACTGGCAATGCTACCACATAACGTCTGTGTGCCTGCGATGTACGCCTTGCCTTGCGAGACTTGTATACTGAGCTCACCTAGGTGGTGAGTACCTTCGGGCAGACCCAGCGCCGATATAGCATCCGTTACCAACACCACGCCTGGGAACAAAACAGACAAATGGTGAGGGGCGAGCTGGTCTAGTGGTAGAGCGTGAGACTTGGGTCACTCAGGTTCCGGGCTCAAATCCCATCAATCATCAATGGGTTTTATCTAATTGCCATACTCATATGCCTAGCTTAAGGTAATGTGACAAATAATCTGGGGCTAGATCCTAGTGTCCTGAGACAAAATAAACAGATAACTGTCCCGGTAGTTTAAGAAACTCTTGTTTACTATAATGATTTAAGGTAATAAAAATATGTTTGAAGATATTGATAGGTTTTTGTCGTGAATATTTATATGGTACATGGCAGTTTAAGAAAAACCCCGAATAACACATCTCTGTTGAACGTTTGTCTTTTACACAATTAAAATAACCCCATACAAAGATCCAGTAAAAAACAATAATGCAAAGAGAACCCTTTTATTTCAACAAGCCCAAAAAATCTTTTTTATCATGGATTTTTAATAGAATTTTTAGGGTTTTTGTAATGACCAATGACAGCTGGGTACATCGATTATATTCTTCATCAGCTGTGTGGTGGATGAATATCTCTAAGTATTATTTACCTTCCCAGTCAGCACACAGAAGTATATAATATGTATTATTTACTTTGAGCCAAAGTAAATCCAAAATAAATTATACGTATTGAATTGATATAGAATACTTCTATTTTACGTCTATACGTCCCACTTTATTTTGTAAATAATACGTATTACTAATACGTCAATTTACGTAAACCATATACAAAAATAATACGTCAATGATATATGTATATGGAATGTAAATTTTGTACAAGTTAAACTGAAGCAATAATATGTAAATTTAAGTATTATTTATGTAAATCATCTTAATTATGTACAGTAATGCAAAAAATATCTGAATCTAATTAAATTGTATTAAGAATCAATTTATCCAATTATGTTTAGCACCTAAATAAACATAATAATAAATGTTCTGTCAGTAATCAACATAAGAAAGATGGATTAGTTCTCAGCTAAAGTCAATTATTATAAAAATATTACTCATCCTAAAAACTTGAGGCACTTTTAAGGGTGACTCTTTAGGCGATAAACTATGGTCAGTACGGTAGTACTATGAAAACTGTGGTAAGTTCTAATTTATTTTTTTAAATTGTCTTCACTCATTCATGGTGTGTTAGTATTTGTTTGAATTGAATGCATAAAAATGTGTTACTTTATAGGAAACAAATTCTCATTAATCAAAAGGAAAACTAATCATTCTAGAATTATTAACATAATATCATATAATTAGTAATTAGAATTGAATTTGTACCCAACAAAACTAAAATCAGAACAGTAGGCAATAAGTACAAAGTACAGCTTTACAATAAAAATGTAATCTTAATAAATCAAGTACAGCTTTACATTTGAAAATTTAATCTTCGAGCCTGCCGGAACCATTCTTTAACCTTGGTTTCAAATGCCTTGTATGTGACATTGTCTCCGTGAGACGCTGCAACAACACCTGAAACATGATTTTACAATGTGATACCACAGAGTTTTCACTATAATTGTTATGTTATAAGCAAGTGTTAATGTGTTTGATTCAGTTTTTTCTCATAAGGTCCTACTTTGTCCTTTAACTTAGAAGAAGATTTTTTACGGGGGTTCAAAACAATTTACCCTTGATAATCCGACATGGCGGTGATGCCACTGGACACTAATTAGTTAATACTAAATACTTTACGAGTATAAACTCGGGAATATTTTGCAGGGCCGGTTTGAGTAGTAAGCATAGTACGTGGTCGAAGCAAAGCAAAATGGCGTATCCAATGTTCAGGATTAAGGAGACCCACAAATTGACTCGTTCATCAACACTTCTCTGTCATCTACTTGGACTGGTCTGGTAGACCTTTGCATGTTTCAGACATAGCCTACATACTCTAGCTTATTCGTGTATCCAGAAATAATCATTACCAATAACAGTGCCGTAATTAGAGTACTTGCGGACCTAGGTCAAACTAACCTCAGTTATCCTACGATCACGGCGAAATCGTTAACATATCCTGTGATCATGAAACCATTGCCACCTACGATCGCCATGAAATTGGGAAAATCACCACACATTGGTAGTCAAACATTTTTGGCAAACTGACATTCTAATGGGCCTATTTAAGTAAATGTCCGATTATTGAGAGCCAACTGTAGTTACCTAGATTAATAGAGGCCAAGTAATGATTTACAAAAAGTTTTTTTTATGTTATGGATATCAAATACCCCCGCCACAGCAACCCTGCAGACTAAGCAAATTTCCATTTACTGGGCTGGATTTCTACTTAAGTACAGTAGAGTCTCGCAAACTCGGCACTCGATAACCCGGCAGTCTGGATAACTCGGCCATCACCTGGCTCAGAAAATTAGTGATTTTTGAGTACGACATGAGTTAAACATGGGCTCAAGTTAAATCATTCCCAACTTGTACCAAAGATTTATTGTACTATATCTGATGACTTAATACTGACTTGTAATATAAATAGGCCTATAAATAAATAAGGCAGCTAAAAGGATTACAAATTGTATGGTTCTTATTTATAACCCTAGTTCCCAATAACCCGACATTTCACAAACTCGACACCCTTCCAGTCCACATTACGCCGAGTTTTGGGGACTCTACTGCATTCCCTTAAAATTGTAAGATTTATTTCCTATTTACATAGGTAACATTGATTATAATGAGTAGGCCTACTGTACTTAGGTTTGCTGCTACAGGGAAGGAAGGTATTGAAGTGTTTTTTTATTTCAATTGAAATGTTCATAAACTAGAATGAAACAAACAAAATTGTCAAATTTGACAAAAATATATTTATATAGCCTACAAGCAAACTAGCCTACAACAGTTTTTCTCCATGAGAATAACATAGAAATTATTAATTTACAATATTTTTCGATTATCTCCGTAACCGATAGGCATACAACAACGCTTCAATATACAAAATTATTTCTTTTATAAGCTATACAAAATGGTATGGAAAGAAATCGTGAAGTTTTGTGTTTTTAGAGTCAAAAATCAGAAAACCCAATTTTTACCCCATAAAACCCCCCATAAACCCTCGTTCCCATAGTCTGTTCAAATTATTTTGAATAAACGTAGGTTATACATTAGTACCAAATTTGATCAAAATCGGTTCACTTTTGCTCGAGATATCGCGCTAACGGACATATACATACATATGTATATATTTCATATATATATATATGAATTTAAACGGAGGGTGTTTTTGGCCTATGGAGGACCCAAAAATGAAAAGTAAATCGGTCCCGGGTCGAGGTCTTACCATGAGACCTACAGTAATAGCTTATTCCCTATATAGAAAATTCGCTAAAATAATTTAAACTTGTTGTTAGCTTGTTAAAATTTTCCTTTAACTTTTTTTATAACTATTTCTTCTTTTCCTTTTTGATATTTTCTGTTTTTGTTGGTTTGAATTAGGGGCCCCAAATAAAGTCTCCGGTTGGGAACATAAGAGGGTTTTAATTGAATCTAATGATGAATATAGAACGGATTCACGTTTAACATTAGCCTATTAGTTTTAGAAAAAAAAAACGGCATCTCATCTTTACAAATTTCTCCCACAGTCTCCCCATGATTAGATACAGATTAGATTTAAATAAATAAAATATTTCACACACCTTTAAAAAAAGAGTGTTCATAAATATTAAGTTGGGTAGCTTTTTAAAAATAGATTTAAAATTATAACTCAAACAAAAGAGTTAATCACTGCTCCCCAGGTAAAATAACTTTTCAGGGACTATTATTTAAATTCCATTAGATTCCAGTAACTATTAGTAGGCAACTATTATACTCACTCTCCAGTGTTTTATGAAGTTGAGGCTGTGGAGGGTCCTCTTTCCCTTCCTTCCCTCCCAACTGAAGCTAACATCTACTTCGTTTGTCCGCGATCTGATGAGGGCTCGACAGCCAGAGTCCACCACTGTTGCGCCCCCAATCCTTTGAAAGAAGTCGATCTACAAAAACAAAAAAAACTTTTTAGTCATATTTAATCGTTTTATACTTTCGGCTAAGTCCTTCTTAGGTGTGTTTGACTGTTATAACCATTCTATTTCCCGAAACAATAAGTAAATCCAGACCTGATTCCACAACTGGCCCCTAGGAGTGAACATAACATAACCTAGATACAGCAACAGAAGGTATGTTTTTTAAATTAGGCCTATTTGTTGCATTCACAATTAATTAAGTTTATCTTATTTACTTATGACAGATATACCTATCCATGCATAAGCTAACTTAATTCCTTGTAATAATTGTTGAATGAAATTGTGTATGCCTAAGGCCCATGTTATATGGACAGAAAAAACGCGACAGATTTTTCGCCGCGAGACGCCAAGCCTACCGAGCAATGGACGTCACTATGTGCAAGTTATACAAACGTTTTATCTGTCGCATCGGACACTGTAAACCTGGCGTCAGCGTGGACAACGCGACCGGACCGGTAAAACTGGCGGAAAAAACGCGACAGAAATTATGCGAGTACCTACTGTTATACGGGCAGCTTTTACACAGCAGATCCGTGCTTCACCCTACCATACTTCTCCGACAGGATAGTTCCCAGGCGACTTATCGGGAGTGGAAATTCACAGTTCGGCGACCTTCGGGCTCCCTCGGAGCCTGTCGCGGCGTGTTTACTGCTCGTATAACAGCTCCCTGGCGTCGATGACACAGCGTGATTGCTGATTGTATAACAGCACTGAATTTGTGAATCAGCGTCGGCGTTTTATCTGTCGCGTTCTTGCTGTCCGTATAACATGGGCCTAAGTTAATTAGCATATAGTATAGTTACCTATTAGTCATTTGTAAATAAACAAACCGTCTAACAAAAACTGGACAAGTTCAAAAACCCTTAGCCAAAAAATTAACTTATCTCTTGATAATTTAACATAAGGAAGCATATAGGCCTAATTAGTTGCGTTAAAATCTTAGTGTAGGCCTGGGAATTACCATTACCTACTGTAAATTTAAACATCAAGCGTAACTTAAAACACAGAGGATACTCGTCCAGTAACAGGACGTGGATTAACTTAGGCGTCCGGCACTGACGTCACAGGGTTGTGAGGGCCCGGAACGCCATTACCACAACGATACGATGTACAACCATCGGTGTTTGTGGTGTAGTGGATAGAGTGCTAGGCTGATTAACGCAAGAGGTCCCTGGTTCGAATCACATCGGTAACTTTAACTTTTTGTCAAAGATTTTGCTTTGAATGCCATTAACTGTACATCTTTTGTTAGAATTTTTGGCATTTATAATTTTATTTTATGAACATAATTTAACCTTCATTCATTATCATTTTTCATTATCAGCAAGTTTGGTTGGTTAGGTTAGGTTATGACAGTAACTGCTGGACGCCTAATCCATGTCCAGTTACCGGATGCGTATCCTCTGCGAATTTAAAAACCCTGTAACTTACTAATGTGCTAATTAATAGGCCTAACCTAAGTTAGTTAATATCGTAGGCCTACTTGATAAAATCTTGGCTGCACTTTAGTTTCTGTCCTACATTTACTCACATACGGTTTCAACTCAAGTTACCTAGTACTTAACTGCATGTTTGGTTAAGGTTAAGTTAAGTTTAGAACAGTTTCATCAGCTGGTAGCACAAATAGGCCTACCTATTTGTGTAGTACCGTACCTAAATAGGTACTAGAAAACATGATCTAGTATTCGTGGTTAGTAGTCCTATAATAGTAAATGTAGGACAGAAACTAAAGTGCAACCGAAATCTTGAAAGAATACACACCTACCGAAAATATCATCCAAGACCAGTAAAAATGAAGATGTAACTTAAATCTTCTTTATCCAATTGTCTGTGATGTAACTTAACTTAGCCTAGCCTAATTAAAATCCAGTATTTGTAAGTTTAGACCATAAATAAAAGCAGAACACTTACCTTTGAGGGTTGTAGAAAATTGATGATGAATTGAAAACATAAATAAGTTAGGTTGATCTAGCGAAAATCTTAAAAGTAGGCCTAGGACCAACGGTAACACCGATGGCCAATAAACTTCTTGATTCTTGAACTTAAATAAGTTACAACTGTAAAATAAACTTTTAAAACTAACTAAAAAACTGAATAATTAACATTTAAGTTTTGGAAACAACGATTGAAATATTGATCTCGAAGAGGGCAGAGGAGAGACTACACAGAATAAAAAGAAGAAGAGATAAAGTAAAGAACTCGAACTGCAGCAGAAACACAGAACTAAACAACTTAACTAAAACAAAAACAACAATGGCGGCCTCGGATGACGGCTAGTCCTAGTCGGCGTTACGGTACTGTCCGACCCATTCGATACTATCGTGCTAATACGATTTTCAATGCATATCGAAAGACCAGTAATGCTCCGTGTAGAAAGGATTTATGATTTATTTCAGTTATACCTTAGTAATAATAATATTAGTTATTAATTATTATTATTAACTTATTTAGTTTTTCTAACTTAGACTGTAGTAGTTACATAAATTTAAATTAATCATAACTGCCCAGTAAGCTATCGAATAGAAATATCGAGCCTATCAAGTTCGATGTTGATATTGACTATCGATATAATTCTAGTATCTATCAGTCTGGCTTCGATATTTTTATTGGGATCCAATAAGTCAACGCTGCAACCCCAACCCCAATCCCAAACCGGTTCGGTCTAACTACACTTCTTGGCTTGGTGAAGGAATTCTACAAGTGGAAGTGACCTTCGCACTTGCCACCCCTTTGTATTACAGTTCTTTGTCTAGCTGCCTGTATTGTAAATTCCTACTGTCCCTTCTTCTAAGAAAAAGTTTCTCTAAAAGCAACTGTTTGGTCTGAGTGAAAATATCTCTTTCTCAAGGCTTTGAGCAAAATTTACAAATCTATCTGGTATGAATCCAGGAAAATGGTTAATGTATATTTGACGTAAATATATGTATATTTTACGTCAATATTAAAGTATATGGGATGTGAATAAGTTACATTCAGTATACATTAAATGTATCGAGAAATAGGCCAGAAAATAGGTTTAAATCAATCACATATTAATTAAGACAGTATTTCATGTTGACCTAAAACAAAAGGTAACGATATTTTCTATGTAAATATCAGCGAGTAAATTATATGTGAATTTTACATATTTCAATATACTTTACATAGTTTACCAAGATTGACCTAAAATATATGTATATAATACCTCGTGTGCTGACTGGGTTTAGGATGAGCTCTCCACGCAATCCTCAAAGCCGCCGGGTGAGTGTGAACTCCGTCAGCAATGATACCGTAGAACAGCGGACGAGTGTTGTCCGTAGTCAACAATCCGACCAATCCCGGGTCTCTGTGATGAAACTGTGAAAAACAAAAAGTATTTACTTCGATTTGGGGAACGTTACAATCTATGTAATTTCCTATTGTATCCAAAGATACAAGACAGTTAGCACAGACAGTTAGTTAGTTAGTTGGAGACAGTTAGCAAATTACGTGTTAAATTTATTTCACTGTTAGCATTTCAAGATGCCGATAATTCAAGGCTATGGGAAATATGGAAACTGTGGAGGGGTTTAAAGATGAGTAATATGATAAGATTGCCTAAAACTCATATTAGCTAAAATGGCTGTTAGTGAAATGTGATGGCAAATTATTCCAATCAAGGAAATAGTCAGAATAATTTACTACATCAGCACTAGACTACAGACTGTAGGCTATGTTCAGAAAAAAAACCTAAATTATTTAGATTTTAATATTATAAAACATAGTGGCCTGGATGGGAGAATACCTCTTTTAGCTCCTTAGTTAGGCAAAACTACAGCCTGAGATGGGCTTTAAAAAACCAGGCTGGAGCATTATCTTATTGCTAAAAGCCAACATTATCTTATTATTCTGATTTGAACCCAGGCCCTCGTGTGTAGAGGACCCCAGTCATTTCATGAAAGTATTAAGAGTCTTATCACTAGACCAGTTAAGCCCCTATAATGTGTTCATAGCAATCCGTCTTAGAAACTCCGTTCAAGAAGTCACAAGAGTTAATTCAAATCCTTTTAAGTTCTTTGTCTAAATCAGAATGTGTTACAATCTCAAATAAGAATGTTAATTAACAATATTCAAGCGTATAGTATTACAAATACAAGAAGCGTATTATGAAGAGAGTTGAAGAAAGTTTGAGAGAACGAGAAGAGAAATCAAAATTGAGATGGTTTGGCCACTAAGAATGGAAAATGATAGAATCCCCCAAAAAATTAGTGAGCTTCACATGAACGGAAGAATACCAAGAGGAAGATCTAGAAGAAGGTGGATTGACAATGTGAGTTGAGATTTGGAAGGAAGATGAGTGCAGTGGCAGTATGAAGAGAAAGAGGAATCGTGGAGGGACAGAAGTTAATACCCAGACCCGGAGATGACCAAAACGGGAGAGGATATTGTATGTGTGTATTACGTAAAAAAATGTATTGAAATTTCACTTACAGGCAGCATAGCATTGAACAGATGAGTGATGAGGGAGGCTCCATGTTTCGCACCCTCCTCCCCCTGTCTCAAGTCTGCAGTAGAGTGACCTGTGAAAACACAGTTGTCAATTTATAACTTCTAGGCTAAGCCACACAGTAGGCGGACCTGGTCGCTGAGAAAAATAATAACAATTGATAACATTAAATTAAATTAAGACACTTAGCGACCTGAATAAAGTCCAGGAGCATTTTTAGGTTATAGAGACAAATATGCTACTCCGGTTATCTTACAGCACTAGCCACACTAAGTGACAAGTTGCTTCCTCCATCAATCAGTTTTAGCACTGTTTTATTCTACGCCATTCAGTTTTTGTCTAAAGCCACATTTCCTTTTAACATTTTGTCCCAAAAATGTTGGGAGCTAAGCTCAAGTTGATTTGAGCACAGCTCCCAACAATATTGGTGCGCCGTTTCCATTCCAAGCAGTTCGCGCAGCATCAGCCACCCCTCCTCACTGCGAGCACAGTCTTTGCTCTGTACACTACATCTACATCAGTGCATCTACATCAGGGAGAGTGAAGAAACAGCCGCTGCTGCTTTTGTTGTAATGACTAGTGTGCATATCACCAATTTATTAATTTAAAACTTGGAAAGTGTTGTATCCGCTAGTGGGTGGGGTGTCCAGAATAAATACTCGGGCGTGAACTTAATTGGGTTCATTTATTGAGCGGATAAGCAATGCATCAATACATGATAATATCTTACTAGTACACAATTATGCTAATATCACAGAGAAATTCCCCATTACTAAGGGTAGAATTTAGAGGGCTACTAATGAACCAAGGGTCGGGCAATGTAAATCTCCTAATAGCCTATCACCACATACCTGCTAAAATCAGCGGGAGAATCATGGAATCATGACCAGCTAGTTGTGATCTGGTCGAGTAGAAGATTGACTCTGAATGTAAGTAGGTGGTTCACAAGGACCGACCATATCTAACCTCAAGAGTGGTGGGGGCTTATGATGCAAATGCTGGTTTCCAGAATTACCTCAAACCATATTTGGTACTGAATATAATGTTACAAAATCTCAAAATTGAAAACTATTAACTTTTGGCTGAGCTCCCTGCTCCAAATATAAACGGACTCAAACTGTAAACTAATAAATTAACCCATATGAATACACAACAAAAGCGACCAAAAAATACACCATAAACAAAAACCCGTGGTGTTAATTCGTCTGCTAGAGGTGCGATGATACTGCGGATGAGCTGGAACTACAGAGAGTAAGTGTGCATGCGAAAACTTTGCTCACAACAATATTGGCAGCTGGACACCATTTTCATTAGGTTTTGAGCACAGCTCATAGCATCATTAATTAATGCACTTCACTGGGTGATTTTCTATAAAATTACAAAGAAATTTCTTGTAACATTTATTATAGTAAGTAATTAATGTAATTGATAAAGATAGTAATTGATAGACTCTAAACCTGGAAAACATGCATCAAGGTCAAGGTTCAAATCAATAGCCTACCTAAGGAAACGGTGATCCCTCTTCGGACGAGACTAGATATAACTTCAGTTGCTCTCGGAAGTTCAGGTGCCAAAGTTATGATCTGAACATTGTCAAGAGGTCCGTAGACTTCATCTAGGGTTTGGATGCCCTGAAAACCGAGGAAACATTTGTTTAACTAACAGTTAATTCAGAAATAATGTGCAAGCAACAGAACTCTGTAGCTTTGGTATAGTTTCACAGTGCTATTTGGATCATGCGCTACCTGCAGATATTGAGACCGATGCAAGAGTTACACATTGACAACCAAAGCGCTGACCAATCAAACCAAACCAAACCAAAGCCTGGCAAATCAGTCGGTACCATAACCTCAAACTTTATTGAGAAAATGGGTTATGTTTTCTCTTTAAAAGGCAAATCTATGAATTTCAATACTATATTGTTGGAAATGTATGAGAAATTAAATAAATATACGCTTGGTCACCTATATTATTAAATATCTTAGTTTTAATTTATGGCTCGTTTTCCTCAAACCTCGGAATTTCTCAAACTTAGCACCCTCAAGGTCCATGTTTGAAGTGTTGAACTGTATCGGAACGTCTCTAGCCACAATAATACTCTATATTTTATCTTATAATCAGTTCTTAACTATTACATTTAAAAGAAGCGTTCCTACCTTATCCAGACCCCTGATGGCATTAGGATTGTGCGCTCCTTGTTTCTGAGGACTTATAAACGGTCCCTCCAGATGTAGTCCGAGCACACTCGCTCCGTCCATCCCTCCCGCAGTCTTCTTGACCTTTGGAATAACCTGAAATCACTGCAGTTTTAAAGGGGGAGGTCTTTTAGTACCTATTAGAGTTTACTTTATTAACTTATGTTAATTTGTAATAGGCTACATTTTTGGGTCCTTCTACTTTCAATAGTAATATCTTTTTTGAATATGACATGGTAGATTTCATAAGTGAATGAAATACATACCGGTAGGCTACAAGGAAACTTAAGTTGGAAAAAGTCGCGTTAATCAACCTGAACATGTCATATTTTAATGGTTTGTTTGGTCATGAATTTATGTAGGCCTACAGGTCCAAACACTCATATGAAGCTGAATGAAACGTAACCTAGGCTGCACTTTACTTTAGGTCCTACACTCATTCAAATTAAAATATTGATCGATATATCGAATTAAACAATCAAATAATCGATATTTGCATTCAGATGAGTGTAGGACCTAAAGTAAGTTAAAGTGCAGCCGTAACTTAACTTATCTCAGCTAGTAGGCCTAACTGATCTTAACTTAATCAGTTACTAAGCTATCATCTTTATTCAGACACTTGTCCATATAATTTTAGTCTATTGTCTATCGGAAGAATAATTCCACACTTATAATAAAAAAAAAGAGACACTTCTTACTTTAGCATACACTTCAGGTGTACTGGTGACAAGAGTTGGGCAAAATGAGGTCACGCCGTGAGCAAGAAGACCTTTAGCCACTTTTTGTAGTCCTGCTTCAACCGAACCTGTATCATGGCTGAAATCAACTCCAAAACCACCTGAAACCAAAAGGGACCATTTTAAATTAAAGACTTCATTTGGATAGTTTGGCCTAACCTAACTTAGGCCTACGTACCCTAGTTTAAAATTTTGGTTTGAACTAAAACCTATCTGATCTGGCTATATTTAAAGGAATCCAGTAAGTAGGCTTAGGTTATTTTTTTCCATGTTTAGCCTAGGTCTATGCTTATTAACTTTGGATTGGATAATTTTGGATTGTAAATAAACAGCCTCTTGGTAAAGTTATAAGTTAGTGTTTATGTCTAAGAATAGTTTAAAAGCGTTTTTAGAATGTGACGTGTTGATCCAAAACAATAAACAAAATGGTAGCTAAATGCCACAAATCTCCCTAAACCTAAAAGAAATTTAAACATTTGATGTTTAACACAGGGGATGGACGCGTCCGGTAACAGGACCTGGATAAGGCGTCCGGTAACAGGACCTGGAAAAGGCGTCCGGCAGTGACGTCCCTGGGTTGAGGGGGCCCGTAACGCCATTACCACAACAATACGATGTACAGCCATCGATGTTCGTTTTGTAAGTTAGTGGATAGAGTGTTTGGCTAATTTGCAAGAGGACCCTGGTTCGAATCCCATAAGTACCTTTAACTTTTTGTCAAATAACTTATTTTGCTTTGAATACCATTTCTTGTTAACTGTAGATCTTTTGTTAGAATTTTTGGCATTTATAATTTTATTTTATGAACAGAATATAACCTTAATTTGATTTTTTCATAACCAACAAGTTTGGTTGGTTAGGTTACGTTGTTGCAGTAACTGCCGGACCGGACGCCTAATCCCCACATCCGGTTACCGGACGCGTACCGGTATCCTCTGAGGTATTTTAAACTAAGCTAAGCTAAAAAGTATAGTTTAGGACTTACCATTTATTTGAATATCAATAAATCCTGGTGCTATTAAGGAATTCTGACAATCTATCTTTTTATTGGATTTTACTTTCTCGTCATAAAATACTTTTTCGGGATTTAAGATTTTTCCATTTCTCACCCACAAGTTATCTTTGACTATTTTATGGTCTTTTAAAATAGTGCAATTTATAAATTGATAAGTTATATCACTCTCATCGATCATCTTGGTTTGAAGAGACAGAATCCAAACTAAAACTGATTAAATAATTAAGCCTAAATATGGTATACAAATTAAGAAACATTGATAGAGTAACCCAAATTCTCCATCAAAAGAAGATAACCTCTAACTCATTTTGAAATAGGGACAAGTACAACCACATCGTCTCGTCCACTTCAGACTAGAGATGGGCGTTATTTAACATAACAGGATGAATAACAGTGTTGCGGCCACGGCAACGTTATCGCGGCAACACGTTGCCGAGAACTCCCTGTTATTATAATAACTATCTATCTACACAATGTTGCAGGAAAGCCGCGCGGACAACGAAAACGAAAACATGCATTGCCATCAGTGTCGTTGCCGCAAACGCTACCAGAGCAACGATAACTTCTGAAACGAACTAGAATTAGAATAACGCATCCTGTCTGGGCAACACCCGACTCGCGGCTACAACTGAAAACTGAACTGATCAACCGACAACGATAACTGAACGCCGCAACACCGACCTGCGGACAACGGTTTACAGCGGCAATGAGTTGGCAATCGTTATTGAAATAACAGGTTGCCGCAACACGTTATTGGGCAGCTGCGTTATCGTTATAACCGTTGCCGGAAAACAACGATAATTCCCATCTCTACTTCAGACATAACTTACACTACACACGAAATAAAAACATTAGGTACAGTGTTTCCATCCGCAAGAAAAAAATATCCCTCGGCCAACGTCAAAAAACCCCTAGTTATCCCTGGTCCGTGTTCTAATAATCCCTCCAATTATCCCTCTTTATCAAATCTAGATAACTTATTATTTTTACCGCAATACCAATGGATATCAATGTATAGCCACCTAAAATATGATAACTGGTGATATTATTCTTCAATATCCCATAATTATTTATAAAGTAATACTCTATAAAAAAACATTTTTGCACCATTAAAACCACGATCATCTTTAACTCCAGGCAGGCCGCGGCCTGGTAGAATTGGCAACGTTGCAAGTACCGTAGTATTGTTTAGTGCCAGACGTCCCATCATAAGTTAACATGGAAAAAACATAATATAGAATAGAAAACCAAAACAATCTATTTCTGTAAATTCAATGTGGAGTCAAAATTGTCATAGTTCAGTAACCAAGCTTTCGTATTCTTAAAAAATACATAAAATATCATTAGCTTAGCGTTCTCCAAACAAACACTATACTTGCAACGTTGCCACTTCGAAGGCCGTGGCCTTCGGCCTTGAATTAAAGCATAGATAAAACATACTCCTCAAGGAGTAGCCTATGTTTTATCTATGATTAAAGGTAGCCGTGATTAAACACTGTCTATGTGGTACAAAACAAGATTAATCGATTAAAATTAAAACAAATAGTTATTTTAAAAATTTTATAAACTAATAATTTTTATTTATAAGTATTTATAATTGTTTCAAAAATATTACTCAAGTGTCCAAATTTTCAAACTTAATAGTCTTTTTCAAACATAGCCACCATGCCTTGGTGAAAGGCTTACCGTACACCAAGTTACTTACTAACCAAAAAATAACAGAAATCACCGGCAAACAAAATCAAAACGAAAACTAACATTCGACATTGACACAGGGACAGGGCTAATAAGAAACCAATGCAGTACATTAATCTAGATCCGCCATTCCATTCCACCGACCGACTCCAGCCCTTTGCTTGTTTCGTGCAGTGTTGGCTGTTACTCTTCCCCTTGTGTGTTCCGACTTTGAAACACTACGTCGCCACCACTACCTACAACCCAACCATAGATAAAACATACTCCTTGAGGAGTATCTAGGCTACAATCGATTTGTTACCAAAACCTAGGGAAAAAGTAGTATAATCAATGTGTTATCAATACCTTGCAAAATTAGCCAAAATAGGTCCTTAACGTTGTCGAAATATAGCCATAATGTATTATTTTATCAATATTTCAATTTATAATGTCAAAGGCCTGAAATCCCTATAAAATCTAAAAAATCTTTCAATTTCTCTGATTATCCCTAGTTATCCCTCAATCCCTTTTCAATCCCTCGAAGGCCCTAAATATCCCTAGAAAGGGATTTTTATCCCTCAAATGGAAACACTGATTAGGTAGCCTATATTTTTTAAATGGAATGACTGACAGGCAGTTGGACTTTAGACGACGACTGACAGTTGGCAACTTAACAAAAACAAACATCAAACATATGATAATGACAGAAAGAAAAACAAACTACACAGTAAACACTGATATTGCGGTTTGATTTGCGAGACGTCGGCCGCCATTTGTACTTGAGGATACATTCAAACATTCGATTCGATCTGGTTATATGATATCGGTTAAATATCGTTCGCTATCCTATCGACCATATCCTATCGATTTTCAAACCTATGTTGTATAAGGCTGTGGTTTCCTAGACGCGTGATAGATGCGCAGCGGTTTAGATGCGCAGCGTCTTTTATCCAGGTCCCAAAACGCAGCTGCCGTGAGTGGTTTCCTAGACTGCGTACAATACATAAGGTTGGTGCGTAACATAAGTTCACGGGAGAGATTACTAGTGGCTACTATGATGTTATACGATGATTTAGATAATGAAATGGATATTTTGGCATTAAAAGCTTTGAAGAAGCGTAAGCAGTGAAAAGTACATGTTAGGAACTGTACGTGGCCCTCACTCATCTTTTAACTGTAGTGTTAAAGCAAATATGTAAATTTAAAATGAAAACAATAAATCTTAATTCACCCTGTCAAACTTTGCTTTTACTGTTATTATATTTACCTATTCGGGATTTACCGAATCGATGAAAATACCTTTTACAAGTATAACTGTAATAATCATTTTATACTTATACGCCAACCCCGTAAGAGGTTAGGTACTATGCTAGTAATTAATATAGAGTTATTACTAAGATGTTCAGGAGTTCTTAAAATAATTATGGGGGCACTTATATTTGGGAGTTGGTTGTGCTGACTTGAAAAGAATATTTGTCAATGTTAGATTTATTTATTAATACAGTAAACAACGATAAGAAAATATGTGAGGACAAATTAATTGATAGATGATGTAACAAGGGGATTAAATATTAAAATCACACATTATGGGGAAATAAACACTAGGCCTACATAACGAATTATATGAAATATAATACTATACAATTTTAATTGTATGAACAAAGTATTTCCATAATATGTCATTAGAAGAGACAAATTCAATCAATTTTTCGTCGTTGTTGGTGAATTTTGCCTTCTGTACAACATTTACTTCCGAATCCATTGCACAAGACATGTCTAAAACGCAGCGTAACTCAGATTCGACTGCTCTGGGAGCAGTCGGTCAAATACGCAGCTATTGGTGCGCGCGTATTAGATGCGCGCGCATTAGATACGCAGCCTTGGAAACCGCTTACACGAAACTCCATAAGACAAGTGTGCTGCGTCTTAGATGCGCACACGCAGCGCATCTATTACGCGTCTAGGAAACCACAGCCTTATAACGATTAAACACCCAAACCCCGATAAGAACAAATAAGTTAATACTAATACTGACTACTTTTGTCAGACACAACTGACACCGTCCGACTCCAGCAGTATTGTATTTGTATTAGCAGCATTAGCAGTAAACGATCACCATCACCATCATGTTATCGAAAACAATCGACTCGGTTGACAATGACATGGTCGATACGATATATTTCGGTAGATTGTGTTGGAGAAAAGGTGTATTTTTTCCATTTGAATAAGGGAATTGTGGGATTGTGTGCGTAAGTAAAGCTATGAGCCAATGGGCAATGAGCTTATTCCCCTAGTTGGTACCAACCTTACAAAACTACAGCTTCTAGATTTTAAGATTAGAGTTTCGTGGCACTGCAACAGTAACCTTAGTTTTTAGTTTTTTTCTTCTTCTTTCTAGCTCAAATTGAGCCACGGCCAGATGGGTTCCAAGTTTTCTTCGCAAGCTTGAATTAATACCATGAAGCTTTGATGTCTGCTAATCAAATGCATGCGCTGATTAAATTTCAGCGCATGCATTTAAAAGTGGTGAATAAAAATTCTTAAAGACATGCACAGTTAGGAACAAGCAAAATGTATAGCTATTACAACGGGACTTATAATAAAGTACTATTTTATCCTATGGAAATACACTTTTCCATTTTGAAATGTATTAGCCTTTATAACTTTATTATTGACTTTTGGATATCAAATATTTAAGATGGGGACACTGAAACTATACATATGAAGTAAAACATATTACCATTTACTAAGACCAGCTCAAGTAGATTTCTCATCCCATTGTAAATTTTGACGCTTGTTTTTCGTGTCTAGAGTCTAGTTAATGTCCGGTGACACTGATCGGTAGTGTCGACGAACTTTTGTTTATATTATTTCAGAGTTACACGGCCGCCTTAGGTGGCCGTGGTTAATATCATAATTAGTGCTTATAATGCCAATTATAAAATTGACTAGCTGTTCTATAAGGATGAGAAATCTACTAAGGGAGTATGGTTTCTTTAGTTTTATATATGCTATTAAGAAAATGATAAGTTTAACAATAAATAGTAGAAAATAACGCCATTAATGAGATAATGATGGACCAAAGTTAAAGTCGGGTAAATACTTAGTAATCTTTTAATTTCGTATTTAGCGTACTTTTCCACAATATTTTCAATAGGAATGCAGTAAGAAAACCGTCCAAGCACTGGTTTTTTTACCATCCAACTCCAACAAACATAATAAAGATAAAAACTAAATTGTGGGGGTCAGCATGATAGCAATGTTTTAGGCATTTTTTGACAATGTTCTGTACAAATTGAGGGTTTGGCCGTTAGATAATGGACAGATAGATAGATAGATAGATTTATTTGATCATTAAACATTATACATAAAATGCAATAGATCATGTCTATTGCATTTTATGTAACACAAAACTGCTCAATATAGGACATTACTTAGGTGGCTAGAAATAAATGGTATGTTAGACAAATTTTTACTTTTTCTCTTTCGTGTCATTATCATTATTTTTTTATGATATTGTGGGACAAAGTTTTGGCAGATAAAATCTATAACTTTGGATACTGCAAAGGCCAAAGGTAAGCTTAAGTCAAACCTGACCTAATCCTACTGCTCCCCCCCCCTTCAACACCATCAAGTTTTTACGTCCGTCAAAGAATTTAGCATTGGAAGATAAATACATGTAGTTTTAAATTTATTTCTTCAAATTGTGAAGAAATATTATTTAAGCGTTACGACTATCAAGTCCTCTCTATCACTTAAGCTCTAACTCTTGTTAGATACTTAAGACTATAGACCTATTAGATACTTTTTAGTATTTTAGTTTAGTATGTTAGACTTACCTTACCTAAACTTCTTGGCCGCTCAAACCTAAGGTTTTTGGCCTTGCCAAAAAAGATGTATCAAGCCTCCAGTTGCATCAATTCTGCGTAGGCCATTCATTGGCCATTATGGATTTGGCCACTCCAATGCAATTTTGGTCTTCCCAGCACGAGTGACTCCTGTTGTGCAATTTGAAGTCATTTTCAATATTCTGTACCTTCATTCATTCTCATTTCTTTGCACTTGTTCTGCCTACTCAATCATATACTTTTAGGAGTAAAAATCACTAACTACACTAATTTAGAATGTTCTATGTATCACATTTTATTGAGATTAAATCAAATATACAAAACGCTTAATACTAGGGAATAAATATGTACAGATAACAATATGGACTAGAGTGATGGTAAATCAGGGGGTTAAATTGAACCTATATGGTAGTTCATAACCCCTTGAATTACAGCCACTTACTGATTACTCCCACAATTGGCTTCTCAGTAACGTAATGTTAAAGTAATAAAAATTACAACTCCATGCAAAATTCAACCATAACGTCTCCTCTTAAAATTCTTGTATGCTATTACCTATTCACGATTACAGACAATTAAAATAATTAAAAACCATTTTAGCCGACAAATTTTGTTTAAGGTTTTTACAATTGGTAATTTTGCGTATCAGCAACGCTACTTTACAGGAAAATAAATCCCAAACTTAATTCATACCGGTATCATTATACAAATTTACAAATTTACATAATCACATTAAAATATATTTGAAAAGTTACAAAATATTCTAGTATAGGCGTAGCAAAGAAAGTTAAATTGTACTTTATGCTTAGACAATATAATATACCTTAAATTCCCTAGAGACATACTTTAACTGGTTGACACTTTAAATTTATGTTCAAAGTTATTTCACACAAGCTATATTTCACTCCAGCAAGTAGGATACAACAATGCAGTAGGCCTACCTTATAAGTTTTTGTCAATTTGTTGATACACTTCTACTTTATATGGGCTAATTTATAAATTCAAAAGCAAAATAGGTCTTACTAGAATTTTTTCAAAACAAAATAAACTGTAATAATAGACAAAGATGATGTAGTGTTTGATATGCAATCTTTCAATTTAACATTTAAAACTATAATATGCACCTTATCTCAATTTCCTCTAAAGAAAATGATTTATAGTAGATAAAATTGATGTTGCCACTAGATCAAGACAAAAAATAAATCTCCTCGACCAGCAGGAAAGTTGAACAAAATCCTAACATGTAGTTCCCGACGATTTGGTCTTTCTTTAAATAGCCTAATTGACTTCTCGGTTAAGATCTCAATTATGTAATCGTCTTTAAATAGATCTTTTACTATCAAAGGCACCTAATATGATTTAATTGCTTCAAAACGTTTACACATACACAAAGACAAGTTTCATTTACTTAATTGCAATAAAAATACTTCTATTACAAAAAATTGAATGTTGAGAGGTAATTTTGTAGATATCCAATAATCAATAAATAAATATACAATATGGTTTTTATGAGAAGTATTACAAATATCCAACGACCTAAATTAAACTTGAATAATTTGTTGTCATAAAACAAAACTTTTAATCCATCTACATTTTTAGTAAAATTATGTAATCATCAATTTATTGGGATAGTGCTTGAACTATTTTATGTACCCTTTAGATATTGGACTTCACTAGCAGTGAATTCTGTCTAAAGTATGTATGATGGAACCTGTATACTGAGACTCCATCTACCTGGGAACTGGACAATGGGTTAAGTGCCATGTAGACGGAAGGCTCGGGAGACAGGTTCCACCATACAGACTATAATAATTTCCAGCCTTAAAAAAATTGGTACCCAGGAAAAAGGTAGTTTAACAGCTTCACAATCGTTAAAAGAGACTCAATCTTTTCACAGTTAAAAGGTTTACGTTCACTTACTTCACACATTATAAAAATACACCGTTTTCAGCCTTATGTGCCAACAGAGAAAAAATCTTTCCCAAAATAATTTCCTCGTAACTACAAGACGATGATACTGTACACGTAAAGCTAGCGATAGTGGAAGCTGACGAGCCCTATGAAACTTTGATACAAAAATAGATACAAGACACTCTGTTGATAAGGGATTGTAAAGGAACTCAAGGGATTCTGAACGGAACAACAAGATCTTCTTTATGTTCGACTTTGAGCTCGGCTAAAGCTGCCGTCGCTGATTCACAAGCTGCCATTATCTGAAACATTGAAAGGAGTGCTTACGGTAACTAATATAAAACAACATTTGGGCTTACGAGTGCAATAATCAGTTATTATTGTGGAATCTTTTCTTTTATTGAATTTGTCATATAGGGAACAAGCTAATACCCTAGGTATCATGTCGCTCCTTAAGAAAACAGTAAATGTATTGGGAAGTTCTTAGCTTATAACATATCTGGCTTTCCATAAAACAGGCGGAGGGGAGAACTGAGCCTTACTTTTGATTGCATAATCAGCTGACCACAGAGTCTAGTTACCTTCCACCACAAAATTGATCGAAGGCATTTCAAAATTGTAGGAAGTAATAGATATCATTGAGGAGGGCATGTGAGATATTCAAGCCCACATACCTTGTTTATTGAATCTTCGATTACCCACAATCGAAAACCATAAACTTGTGGGCATTTCCACATGCTGTACCACAACCTTTCTAAGCTGATCTTGTCCGCATAATTGATAACGTCTGGTACTTTTATCACAAAAAAAGACAACCTTCCCCCTTCGGTACATTCATAGCGCATCTTAAAAGTCAAAAGCACAATTTTATGATTTGGCAATTTACCTGGTGTATATCCTTGTCTTCTATAGGTGTGATGGCCAACACCTTGTCTGGTAGAGGTATGTCTACCAGAAGACAGGACTGTTTCCGAGGCGCCTGGTGACGGTTGGCGACCCCTTGCAGTTTCAGTTTGTAGTGGTTCACCCTCTCCGCATACTCGTGCTGTTCTAGGTTGTGGGCTCCCATCGCTGCCACGTCTATCACGTTCCTTTAAACAAAACCACATGTGAGTTGGTCGAAGTTGACTGCCACTGAAGGTGTTCATCAATGATCATGATCATTTTTTCATGAATGATTCATGATGATTTAGAGACTAACTGAAGTAGAGATAGGAAATAGTGCTTTGCAATAGTAGTCAAAATGGTTCCTACAGTTCAGATGATGCTACAAAAATAACCGTTTTACTAAGGTAACATATATTAACATATTATAATTTAATAGTATGATTTAACCTATTACGTTAAATAACTCTCTTCTACACTGAAGGTGTTCTTTGATAATTAATAGATTTTGAGGCTGTCACAGAAGGTGTAGATTTACATTCACAGTACTCCGATGTATTTGACTATCTCTATATTGATGTATCAGTAATTAAAGATTTATGTTTGGATTAAGAATTATCTTTATTAGATATACGAGCTGGTGGCCCGTCCTACGTACGGGAATCGAGTTGTCAACTAAAACGGAATAATTCAGAACATCTAGTTTACTCGCATAGAAACAAATTCTGGCAGTTTTAATGGAGAAGATCACCTTATACACAAATGTAACGTGACCACCTATTTATTCCATTCGAATATAGACATAAAATATGGCGATATGCATTTTAAATCCGATAATTTTACCATAAAACAGCATTTGTGTCGATTTGAAAAATATTGAAGTGAGATTGGTGACCGATTCACACTGGTTTTGAGTAGGGTAGCTACATGCCACCTCCAATTACATATACTACTTACGTACTTACCATACCTTATCCTACCTCAACAAACTATAATACCCCGGTGACCACTGAAAATTTAATGAGGATTCTCTTCTATAACCTGCCTCTTCAAAATTTAGATCCCAGTCTGAGGAAGCATTTCAAAACTTCATATTTCCCGTCTATGTTGTGGTACTCCTTGGAATATACTTTTTAAAAGTTTATGCACAGCCTGTCCATCCAAGCTTTACCTACTTCTGGAAAGCATCCCTATAATTTGGGTGTTAACACATTTCTCTTAGCTCTCTATTCTTTTTTATTTCGACCTCCGGGCCGTTATCTTGAACTGGTCTGTATATTTTCTCTGCACTTTATTATCTAACCCAGCATTAAGGTTTTTCGGTTCTTTGGTCAGTGCCCAAGTTTCTGAATCATCAGTATTACGGGGATAGTTGGTATGGTATGAGTCGACTTTGGTTTCTACTGCACCCTGCAGTTTATTTGACAGTTTTATAGAGACCTACTACACTGATTGACGCTTTCATTACTAACCAAAATTTTAGTATGCCGACATAAACATACAGAAAAAAGAAGTATCAACACGTAAACCACTTATATCTTTAAGCGACAATTAACAATATAACAATTAAGCGATAAACTGCTGAAAAAATATTTCCCAAATATGAGTTGAAATTTGCAATGCATAATCTTACGCAGATTGCATTTACTACAAAACTTGAGTAAACGCAAGTGTTTGAGATGTTTAGTTTCCTGATAACGCAGATCCTTCACGGTAGGAGAAAACTACCTACATTTTAAAGTGAAATAGTATGTAGGCAAACACCAACGAACAATATTTTTGTAAACAAACAACTCATAACATAAACATTTCAATGACAGTTATAAACCAGCTGTTAGTTGAATCAGCATTGAAAATACTTTAAATTGCTAGCGTCGGCTGCTAGACTTTAAAAAAATTAAAACTTAATTTCTTAAAAACTGCAACCCCAAACTAAAATTATGGCTTCGACATTCCCTAGTTCTTAAAATGATCTTTCTTTCAACACAAAAATCATAAAAATCCGTCAAGTGGTTGATTCAGAATCGTGAAATAAAAAAAACCTGTTTCGTTTTAATATTATAGATGAGTTTGGATTCAACCAAAATTTAAGTAAAAAATGTTCAAAAGTTTAATAGATTACAGTAGTAGATTACAAGTTTACAAATCAAACACATGTTCTTCTCATAATCTAGTTGCTAACAGCTATAAGTCAATAGAACTATCTTACTTGGCCTAATAGTTACGCAACAATACGCACAGTACTTTGAACTGAAGACAAACAAAAACAGTGTTATAACAAAAGCTAAAATAAAGTTTTGAACGTAACTCATGTGTGTTAAAATTACAAATTAGCTCGTAATGAGTTTTTTTTCTTTCTGAAATATTTAGACTGATTGCAATATATTTATTTATAGTTTTTTGTACAGATACAGAACCTTATGGTGTATGTCCACACAAACATGTTCACAGAACAAACAACAATTTAATTTATTATTCGATTACAGAGTTCTATAGCGAAATTCACTTTTACAATTACTTAACATTTAATTCTTGATGGCTTAATTAAGTTTGAATATGATTCATTAACAAACATAATTGGAATAATTGAGTGTAAAAGGTATCAATGACTAACTAGTGATATTTTGGTACCAATCCATTAATTAAAAATGCAAAACTAAATAAAGTTAAAAAATAAGATATTTAATTAAGTGAGGATAGCAGGCTTATAAAAAAACATAAGACTTTAAAGAATGTACATGGAAAGTAAATAAATAAACGTCTAAAATAACACTTAAAACATGTATTTACGCTTATATACTGTTAACTCACAAAACGGTAAATATATATGTACTGTCCCCAAATTTAGACATGTACAATGTATTTAAATGTATTTAGACATGTACAATGCTGATCAAGAAGTTATTTAGTATATACAAAAACATTAAAATATTTCACAGTCAGTGGCAGCATTTTCAACTAAGGAAGAGATAGTTCTTTGGACTTAAAAACTATCTCTTCGTTGAAAATTCTGCCAGTGACAGTAAAATACTCTAATGTTTTATGTGTATAGGGTTAAGTCTTGTGCTTCTTGTGCAAGGACTCTTTCCCAATCAGGTAAGCCTGCTATCCTCACTAATAATCCTATGACCCAATGATCCTTGTGCTCTAGGTTACTTACGAAACAATCATATAAAATATCACTTACGTGGCTGCTTCTTGAAGGATCCTATTGAGAGCCGACTGTTCGTCCGTCTTTTTTGGTAGCGAGTTGGGATACTGCGCTTCAAAATCATCACTGAAACCATCATTGCAAATATGTTAACAATGAATTCTTCAAGAGGTTTAAGTATGTAGGATACTTGTACACCGTACATGATTTGCTATGCCAGTGCTAAAACTACAACCTTGAAAGCAAATAATATTTTTTGTTTCACTATCTTAAAAATCATAGGCTTATTACTTTTTGAAGTGATTTAGATTTAAACATTAGTTATTTTTCTGCCTAAATGTAGATAAAGTTAACCTGTTGCTTGGTTAAATATCAGGTTAAAAACAAATATGAACTGAAAACCTGTTACAAGATAAAACCTGTGACCGAAACTAGGTTGTTAGAAAACCCTACGAATTGAGAAATAACTTGAAAACCCTTAAACAAGGAATATCAACAAGAATTGAAGCTATCATGGCAAAAATGTGTGCGTTTTGACTTGTCAGTAAGCTTAAATGCTCGTAATAACTGCAGTTTGAACGGGTTTTGTGTATGTAAAGTTCCCTATCAGTTTTTTGGACTCCGCACAAATTTGGCTTCGATTGCAGTTCCGATGAGGAGCCTCCTTCCTAATTTTGGTCCGAAAGTTCTGCTGAACACTAACAATAGCATTTAACCAAAACATAACCTTATCAAAACAAACTTATCAACATGCCCTTTCCATTGCTGTAACAATCAGCTGTTTGAAATCACGGACACGGACGTTCCAACCGTTTAGTTTTGCACTGTTCTTTTTTAATCACCGAGTAGTGTTGCTTAGATTTATTAATTCGCCCAAATATCTCGGGTTTCAAACTCACCTATGGACTCGCTGTATGGAAGTGTTGTTACTGACCGGGTCAACCAACAAGCGAGAATGCTCTGTAGGCTCTCCATTCTAAAGGACAGAAACAGTGATAATCAGTGAAAGGCCAATGTCTTGAGTTAACATAATTGTTAAAACTTTACGTAATAGGGCCTAGGTTTAAGAAAACTCAAAGTACCGTAGTACAAGTTACCTAAAGTTAAGACTAATAAATTAAGAAAATGTATTTTAAGAATCTAACAAGATCAAAATCCCTTAACTTTCCCAATTCATCTAGCCTAATTGCATGTAGGTTTAGATAACTTAAAGTTGGGATAGCTATTTATTTTGATAAACAGTTTCTGTACTTTTTTGTTCATCATGAAAATTAATTAACCGTCTTAACCTGACACAACTTGCACTTTAAGTAGCTAGTTAACAGATTTGACCTTTTTGAGCAGACCAAAGCAAAGCTCTTTGGGATCAACTTCAATGCAATCTTTATAACACTTAATCTCAATGACGGCTGAACATATTTTAGCCCAACTTACCAAGGTTGTTTTGTCAAATGTTTGGATGGTTTAGACGTAACCAATTTCAACTTTTTATAATGCATACCGGTATATAATTTTAAAGTAACTCAAAATTTTTAAATTTTAACATTGGTCTTATGGGTTGCAATGATGGTTACAAAATAACAACGTAAATGTAAACAAAACAAAGAATCATTTAGCATATGTTAAAATCAAGCCACAACCTAAACACAATAGCCTACAAAGGAAAAAAAATTGGATGATGACAACTGATCAAATACCACAGAGAAAGTCTTAGATTTACATTTAAGTCGCAATTTGGAAACGACCACAGATCGAATAGGTACAGTCATAGATAAAATATACTTTCTTAGGTACAGTATTTATTTGATTTCTCGCATTAGGTACCTAATCGTGCACTAATGCTTATGTTCACTTCAACAGGGGTCTGGCAAAGTGTGACTTATTAGGCCTTAAATTTAAAAACTCTACTCTAGTAAGTTATGGGGTGTAGACACTAAACCATTACCTACAAAGGCTTTTTAAAGAGGAGGCCTACAGAGTTTTTAGGTGGTAACTTATCCTGCACCTTGTCGTTACAGAACCTTATTACCTCCTCAAAAGTATTTCAGTCATTCTTCGCCTTAGGATACAAAAATCATTTAAGCACAATTTGTTAAGTGTTTAGGCAGCCTACTTGTGTTTGAGTTGAAAGGTACAGTTCCGGACGATATATTGTGAGATGAAATAGCCCTGGTTTGATATTTCATCGGTTAATATATCATAGTTTCTCCAGGTTCTCTGCATAACTCTCTGCAGAAGTTAAATGTGTTCAATTCTTACCTATTTAAAATGTTAAAATTAAAAATCTATTGTAAAAATATATCCGAACTATGCCTTGCATAGGCTGGTAGGTCAGTACAGGAATAGAGATTACACCATTGAGCTGAATAATGTCTAAAACATAAACATAGCCTGAAAATCAATAATTGAAACTTTGTTGAAGTGGTCTAAATCAGTCAATAAAATTGTCGTGTATGTTCTGGGGATTTACCCTCAATTTATTTTGAGGGCTCAACTTTTATGGAAGTTTTTAGGTTAGGGCACATAAACTTTAGTTACTTACCTGTGATGTGGTGTCTTCCTTGCAAAAACTGTAGCAGCAACCCATTTTTAAATGTTTTAAACTAAATTGACTACGGTTTTTATTAAAAACTACTTCTACCTAAATTCTACACTATTTGACAACTAGACATTCACGCATACAAAGCACTTTAATCATAGACCTACGATAAAAAGGATGAAACATTTCAAAGTCAGCTGTTTCTTCAATTGGTTACTCTCAAAGGCAGATAAACAACAAGACAGACAAAGAGAAACTAATTTGGTTCGAATACTATGTTAAAGTGGGATCCCATAGTGCATAATTCCAGAGTATATAACGTGAATTTCTTACACATACTCACTTATAACGCTAATATAACTGTGGGTGAAGGTGATGTTTTTAAATAGGCCAGCTGGTATTAACCAAAACCAACCACCAGTTCTATTTGAGTTTACTATTCTATGTGTCATATTATAGATCAGCTGAAGAGTGCTGAAGACGATTTTATTGTTAGTCCTGTCCGGTGCACTATATCCTACAATAGGGACGTGAATTTGTTTATTGTTATTTCAGTTATTTAAGTTAAAACCTCGTTTAAACAAATAAAACAATTTAAGAATACATAATAACTCGTCCCCGGAATCACAGTGTATCACAACAACAGATTATAACCAGTACAATTCATAAGACTACAGAGATGCGTGAAAGAAAACTTCTCAAGATTGTTACTGTATCTTTTCCTGAATCTTAGTGCTCCAACATAAGCATAAAAATTATATAAATGTAATTCAAATAGGACGTCTATCTTGACCATCACGTCGTGGTATGTACCGCCTTCCACAGCCCTACCTATCCTTCCGCTACGACCTCCGCCCATCTCCTTACCTTACGACTCCTTTCCGCCATCCCCAAGTCAACTTCCGGCGCTCTACATCGTATTCCGCTGCCCCACATATCCTTCCGCCTCGACCTCCGCCCATCTCCTTGCCTTACGACTCCTTTCCGCCACCCCCAGTCAATTTCCGCCACCCCACATCGCCTTCCGCTGCCCTACATATCCTTCCACCACGACCTCTGCCCATCTCCTTACCTTACGATTCCTCTCCGGCGCCCCCAGTCAACTTCCGCCACCCCACGTCACCTTCCGCTGTCCTACATATTCCTCGGCTACGACCTCCGCACTTTTCCTTACCTTACTACTCCATCCGCCGCCCCACGTCACCTTCCGCCGCTCTACATATCCTTCCGCCGCCCGACACCATCGATACCATTATGCCAGTTCTGATCCTATCCACCGAACATAACCTCAATTTCAATCACCATTTGTTTTCTTTGTTAACTAAAGGAAAGATCAGCTCTCCATGGCAGCTGCGTTGCAACTGAGGAAAAATTGCACTCCTGCGCATGCGCGATTTTGCCCCTCCAGATGGATCAGATTTTTGCATAAAACCTCGGCAGTTTGGGACCCCATTCTCAGTTCTCTCGGGCAGTCGACAAGGAACCATCCTTGGAGATAATATTGCTAGAGAAATCCGAGCAACCATTCCTATTGCTAGAGAAATCCGAGCGATCCGTCCCTATTGCTAGAGCAATCCGAACAACCCGTCCCACATTGCTAGAGCAATCCCAGCATTCCAAGTTTATCCTTTGGCCATGAGTCAGGGCCATTTGGGAATCTTGTGATTCATTGCCAATGTTCTAAGCCAACTTCAAACCCTTTTAAACGTCGACCCCTGGAATCAAAAACCCAACTAGAACTTTGCTTTCACGGACCAAGCTGCAGCGGAAGGTGCAAGCTGCGAGTTCAATCCTTTCCGATAGTACGTCCCTAATAAATCAGAATTTAATATTGTTTTTAGTTAGTGGCTAGTGGTCATTAGTTTTCTGGCTCTAGAGTCTTGCTACATGTGTTTGTATAGTCAGTGTGTGTATCAAGACGACTCTGTGGCTAACGAGAGGACAGTCTTGAGCAAACACTACATCTGTCCTGACCACCACGTCGTGCATGTTAACATGACTTGCAACATGTGTTTGTATAGTCAGTGTGTGTATCAGGACGACTCTGTGGCTAACGAGAGGACAGTCTTGAGTAAACACGACATCTGTCCTGACCATCACGTCGTGCATGTTAACATGTCTTGTTACATGTGTTTGTATAGTCAGTATGTGTATCAGGACGACTCTGTGGCTAACGTTTTAACGAGAGGACAGTCTTGAGCAAACACTACATCTGTCCTGACCATCACGTCGTGCATGTTAACATGTCTTGTTACATGTGTTTGTATAGTCAGTGTGTGTATCAGGACGACTCTGTGGCTAACGTTTTAACGAGAGGACAGTCTTGAGCAAACACTACATCTGTCCTGACCATCACGTCGTGCATGTTAACATGTCTTGTTACATGTGTTTGTATAGTCAGTGTGTGTATCAGGACGACTCTGTGGCTAACGTTTTAACGAGAGGACAGTCTTGAGCAAACACGACATCTGTCCTGACCATCACGTCGTGCATGTTAACATGTCTTGTTACACGTGTTTGTATAGTCAGTGTGTGTATCAGGACGACTCTGTGGCTAACGAGAGGACAGTCTTGAGTAAACACGACATCTGTCCTGACCATCACGTCGTGCATGTTAACATGTCTTGTTACATGTGTTTGTATAGTCAGTGTGTGTATCAGGACGACTCTGTGGCTAACGAGAGGACAGTCTTGAGTAAACACGACATCTGTCCTGACCATCACGTCGTGCATGTTAACATGTCTTGTTACATGTGTTTGTATAGTCAGTGTGTGTATCAGGACGACTCTGTGGCTAACGAGAGGACAGTCTTGAGTAAACACGACATCTGTCCTGACCATCACGTCGTGCATGTTAACATGTCTTGTTACATGTGTTTGTATAGTCAGTGTGTGTATCAGGACGACTCTGTGGCTAACGAGAGGACAGTCTTGAGTAAACACGACATCTGTCCTGACCATCACGTCGTGCATGTTAACATGTCTTGTTACACGTGTTTGTATAGTCAGTGTGTGTATCAGGACGACTCTGTGGCTAACGTTTTAACGAGAGGACAGTCTTGAGTAAACACGACATCTGTCCTGACCATCACGTCGTGCATGTTAACATGTCTTGTTACATGTGTTTGTATAGTCAGTGTGTGTATCAGGACGACTCTGTGGCTAACGAGAGGACAGTCTTGAGCAAACACGACATCTGTCCTGACCACCACGTCGTGCATGTTAACATGTCTTGTTACATGTGTTTGTATAGTCAGTGTGTGTCTCAGGACGACTCTGTGGCTAACGTTTTAACGAGAGGACAGTCTTGAGCAAACACGACATCTGTCCTGACCATCACGTCGTGCATGTTAACATGTCTTGTTACACGTGTTTGTATAGTCAGTGTGTGTATCAGGACGACTCTGTGGCTAACGAGAGGACAGTCTTGAGCAAACACGACATCTGTCCTGACCATCACGTCGAGCATGTTAACATGTCTTGTTACATGTGTTTGTATAGTCAGTGTGTGTATCAGGACGACTCTGTGGCTAACGAGAGGACAGTCTTGAGCAAACACGACAACTGTCCTGACCATCACGTCGTGCATGTTAACATGTCTTGTTACACGTGTTTGTATAGTCAGTGTTTGTATCAGGACGACTCTGTGGCTAATGAGAGGACAGTCTTGAGCAAACACGACATCTGTCCTGACCATCACGTCGTGCATGTTAACATGTCTTGTTATACGTGTTTGAATAGTCAGTGTGTGTATCAGGACGACTCTGTGGCTAACGAGAGGACAGTCTTGAGCAAACACGACATCTGTCCTGACCATCACGTCGAGCATGTTAACATGTCTTGTTACACGTGTTTGTATAGTCAGTGTGTGTATCAGGACGACTCTGTGGCTAACGTTTTAACGAGAGGACAGTCTTGAGCAAACACTACATCTGTCCTGACCATCACGTCGTGCATGTTAACATGTCTTGTTACATGTGTTTGTATAGTCAGTGTGTGTATCAGGACGACTCTGTGGCTAACGTTTTAACGAGAGGACAGTCTTGAGCAAACACGACATCTGTCATGACCATCACGTCGTGCATGTTAACATGTCTTGTTACACGTGTTTGTATAGTCAGTGTGTGTATCAGGACGACTCTGTGGCTAACGAGAGGACAGTCTTGAGTAAACACGACATCTGTCCTGACCATCACGTCGTGCATGTTAACATGTCTTGTTACATGTGTTTGTATAGTCAGTGTGTGTATCAGGACGACTCTGTGGCTAACGAGAGGACAGTCTTGAGTAAACACGACATCTGTCCTGACCATCACGTCGTGCATGTTAACATGTCTTGTTACATGTGTTTGTATAGTCAGTGTGTGTATCAGGACGACTCTGTGGCTAACGAGAGGACAGTCTTGAGTAAACACGACATCTGTCCTGACCATCACGTCGTGCATGTTAACATGTCTTGTTACATGTGTTTGTATAGTCAGTGTGTGTATCAGGACGACTCTGTGGCTAACGTTTTAACGAGAGGACAGTCTTGAGCAAACACGACATCTGTCCTGACCATCACGTCGTGCATGTTAACATGTCTTGTTACATGTGTTTGTATAGTCAGTGTGTGTATCAGGACGACTCTGTGGCTAACGTTTTAACGAGAGGACAGTCTTGAGCAAACACGACATCTGTCCTGACCATCACGTCGTGCATGTTAACATGTCTTGTTACACGTGTTTGTATAGTCAGTGTGTGTATCAGGACGACTCTGTGGCTAACGAGAGGACAGTCTTGAGTAAACACGACATCTGTCCTGACCATCACGTCGTGCATGTTAACATGTCTTGTTACATGTGTTTGTATAGTCAGTGTGTGTATCAGGACGACTCTGTGGCTAACGAGAGGACAGTCTTGAGTAAACACGACATCTGTCCTGACCATCACGTCGTGCATGTTAACATGTCTTGTTACATGTGTTTGTATAGTCAGTGTGTGTATCAGGACGACTCTGTGGCTAACGAGAGGACAGTCTTGAGTAAACACGACATCTGTCCTGACCATCACGTCGTGCATGTTAACATGTCTTGTTACATGTGTTTGTATAGTCAGTGTGTGTATCAGAACGACTCTGTGGCTAACGTTTTAATGAGAGGACAGTCTTGAGCAAACACG